CAAAAAACGACGCGTTTTTCCCGGATTCCCTCTAATCAAACCCTAAACCGCATTGGGAAAGAAGTAAAACAACACAAAAAAAAAAAATAGAACCCGAAATTGTTGCAAAAATTAGAAAAAAACTGGAGATGTGGGGTATCGATTCCCATACCTCTCGCATGCTAAGCGAGCGCTCTACCATCTGAGCTATATCCCCCGGCGTTTTTGTGAGCTTCTTAAAGAAATACTTTTGTTGATTTACCTAAGCAATACGTTTGGCTTTTGCTCTTCTAAAACTTCAAATTGCACACATGGATATAATTAGCTTCCAGAGATGAAAGGAGTACACCAGTCTCGTTCACTTTGCGGATTCGAGTGTTCAATTCAAGTTGTGATGTGATATTTTCTGAAAGCTTTTCACAAAATTAAATGTGATATTTTCTAATAACTTTTTACTATATAAAACTAAAATTAAAAACTCAAATCGGTAAAATGAACGAGACAGAAGTCTTCACAAGCTCAACCTGATCCCTTTTTTTTTTATGACAAAATCAATTAAGAAAAAGTGGCCCAATAAAAGGTCATGGTTCCTGATTCAGGGACTTATGTAAGCCATTTTTTTATATATTTTATTGTCGTTTATTTTATCTTTCTAATTTAATTTTATTTTGTTAGATCATTTTCAATATAAATGTTAATATTAATTGTATATTTAACATCAAAATATATGATATGGTATCTTATTTTCATTTTTTTTCTAATACATAATGCTATTTAAAATGCTAAATTTATTTTTTTTCATAATCATTAAGCTTTATAAGTTGTAAAAGTAAATTTTTACTTTAAAAATAATTAAAAAATGCAAAAATTGTATTGATTACATGAAAAAGTAAACATTTCAACCAAGAATAATCAAATGTCAAACATATGCTATATTTGATGAAAAATTTACTTCCAAATATAACTTATGAAAAATTTAATACAATAAATAGCATTACATTATAAAGTTTTTTTACACTCAAATATTAAATTTATAATTAACACATCAACTATAACATTACATTATAAATACTCTTATTAGGTTATCGCTTATTTTAATTTGTATTTTGTCATCGTTTTGTCAATGGGCTATAAATAGCCATTTTGCAAGTTTCAACACCCAGTTTAGAGTCAGGAAATTGTTAAACGGAAGGTGAAGCGCTAGGAGTTTGGATTAAGAGAACCAACCATATACCATGACAACAACAATAATGTTAGAAGCCAAGAGCTCTTTTAGCAGGCATGATTTAACTGCCTCACTCTTGTGGAGACAAAGTCAAGAAGATGACTTACTGTGCGTCTCTAAGCTACAATGCGTAAAGGCCTTGTCACAACACAAAAGATTTTTTCATACAAATGTAGGAGAAATAATTCTATGTCAACGAGTATGATAACATGAAGTGGAGAGGGGGAAAAAAAACTGTTAATCCAATTAAAAATTTAAATCCGAATTCAGAACTGAAAATATCATCTGAAGACATAAAAGTTCAGAGCCAACTACAGAAGTTTTCGCCTTTCAGAATCCAGTACCACCATGAATGCTGCTGATCAAGACAAAATTGCCGTTTTCCAAGTATATCTATGCTTCGCAATAAAAGCAAATTGTGTGAACACAAAATGGCGCAAAAGAACCTCTTTCTTTGCTCCTCTTTTCACTTGATGATAAGGACCCTTTTATGCATCTTCAAGACCAACTTTCCGTTGATACACACTCAACAGAAGTGGTACTTCCTCTAGATACTTGGTCACATACAACTCCAAGAAGCGCTTCTCCACACATTGCAACATCTTAACAAACGTAACATCTTCTTTCTTCACTAATCCCTTTAACAACAAAACTTTAACAACCAAACATCTGGGGAGTATCCTCTTCTCAAAGCTGTACAAGAGGATCGAGGGGCACTTCGCAATCTTCTCTGCCGGCCACACCATCTCGTTCACTAGAAACTCCATCGTCTTCACAATCTTCTCCTCCGGCAAAAGCACACAATGCGGGCTCACCTTGAATGCGTGAAGAACATCATCCTCTGACCAACCATACCACTTGTAAACCTCGCAGCACCCGTCCCATACTTTCTTATAGCTCTTCGTCAAAAACACGCGAATCGCCAAATAGAAAGAGTTTTTTTTGCCTTTGGCACAACAACATCAGGAAAACTCCTAAGTACAGAAGCTATACTTGAATCACTAACTCCCAAATCTCTCAATAGCCTAATATTCAACACCATATCTTCCGAATGCCTTTCCAAGGATATCCATTGATGCTTAAGAGCAGAGACAACTTGTTCATCAGAGACCAAAACTCTCTTGAAGAGATTATAAGTAGGTATAATATAATTTTTCAAGCTTCTACAAAAAATAGAAGGGTCAGAAGATACAATCTTCGCAAGATCCTTCTTTGAAAACCCTTTGGAGTAGAAAAACTCAAGCTTGGGCAAAAGTATTTTGTTGGGGTCTGTTAGAAGGAAACGTGGGCGTTTTCTTATGAAATCTAAGATCTGGGTTTCCGAGAATTCCTGGTCTCTGAAGAATGCGAGAACAGAATCGGGTCTTTCTGGGTTTTGAAACTGGACCTTTCTGGAAGCTGAAATGGCGGCTTCTGGGGACAACCCACATGAGTTTATGAGGTATGAAACTGTAAAAGAGTGAGCTTTTTCGATATTTTCCTGCTCAGCTATAGCAGATGAAGAGAATGTAACGGCAAGGAAATTCAGCAGAGAGATTGATTTCGACAGAATAACTCCATTGTAAGTTACGGATGTTCTAAGTTTTCTAGATAAAAGACCAAACATAACTGACCGTGTTTGTCGGGGTGTATCTTGCGACGAGTTTGGTTGATTGACGGCGTTGCTTAGGTTCTCTGCGATTCCCGATGGTTGGATGGATGGCTAGGGCAAACTCCCTCCCAAATCGGTGTTATTTTTCAACATTCTTTATAAATATAATAAAAAAGTAAAATCATATTTTGTTATAATTATTAAGTAATATATTATAACATTGATAAATATTAAAAAATAAAAAGAGAAAAGAGAAAATAATTTTTAATATTTTTTTAATTCTTTTATAAAAATTATTCTTATTATTTTTTGTTTTCGTTATCATTTTTAAAATATTTGCTAAACAAACACAATTTGTAAATTATTTTCATTTTCGTGTTTTAAAAGATGCACAGAAATATTTTTAAAAACAATTTAAAATCAATTTCCAACACACTTAGTATTTCTTAAAATTAACCAACAAAAAGAAAATCCTATTTCTAAAATTATATTTTATGTCGTATATATTTTAAGAAGGGTTATTTGTAAATTTGGCCCCTAAACTTGTAGAGTTTTGCAACTGACTCTTTGGACTTCTAAATTTAGCAATTTGCCCCCAACGTATAAAACAATTGCAATGTACTCTATTTGGATGATGGCTGTTAAATTTGTGAAAGGCACATTCGACAAAACATTTCAATTTCTCAATTCAAATTGGAGGATAAACTTCTAATTCTTTTTTTTTATAATACAAATTTCTAATTTCCCAACTCTCAATCCTTTAAATTTGTAAAATAAATAAATAAATAAATATAGAGCAAAATTTATAAAATGGAACACATTTCAACAGTTTCGCAAGGTTGAAAGTAAATTTCAAAAATTAAAAGTTCATGGGAGTGAGCTTTCAAAACTTAGAAGTTCAGTAGGTAAATATGAAAAATATTCATTTTAAGAACATTAGTAAAATATCCAAAGTAGAAGGAAAGATTTGTAACAAAAGATACAAGTTAGCACCAGGCAAAACAGATCGGTCCAGAGCCCATTTCTCTTGGTCCGATCCCAGCCTAGTTCAACATCTGAGTCGGGTCGACCATTTTCTCAAGCGGGCTGATCCTAGACCGACCCGCTTTCTTTTCCGAACCAGATTAAGCAGGTCCTATTTCGCCATTAGGCTGTTAGGCCCGGACTACTAAACAGTCCAAATTTTAAGCTCTATTTGTAAGTACTATTTGTTTTGTTAATTAGTTCTTGCAAAATAAGAGAGATAAAAACCCTCCAACCACAGTAAGAAAAAGAGTATTTATAATTTTTTTATCTTATATTTTGAGTGTATAAAATATATATTTTATATTTTGAATGTTATCAAGATTGTACCTTTAAATTTTAAATTTATGATATATTTATACCTTTTATGGATTAACAAATGATTTTGACGTTTGATTTGATCACTTTATTGTTTACATTTTATGTACAAACTTGTAACCAAACATTAATTAGGCATTGCGTTAAAACAAGAGGGGAAAAAAAAAAAAACACAAAGAAAGTATCCCAGCTATCTTCAGAAGCTCAATTAAATATTTCCAGGTAAAAAGCTCAGTGTTACCATAGTTGGTCAAGAAGAGATCCGAAAAGAAGAAAATCCAGCTTTCGCATTGGGAGAAAGTTCTCTGCAACAACGTTTATCTCTTATTACCATATCAATGACATTCTTCCACTGATATACAGTGGGACTATTTAACGAGAGTTAAGAGCAGGATGTTTTACGGCTACAATGTACAAAAGCTTGAAACATTCATGATATTATACAGGCTAGGAGAAATGGTTTAATGACAAATAAAAAAAATAAAAATAAAAATGAAGACGCATAATACAAATGAAGTTGAAAGAATGTCTGTTATCCAGCTAAAAGTTTGATCAGCTGACAAGTGAACTTTAGCACTAGAGGAGCTCTATCTAATGGAAACTCTTTGCTCAAAAGTGTGAATACCAATTGAAAGGAGAAAGAAACGAGAAAAAGTAGAGAACCTACTACAGAAATCTTCAGGCATATACCACCACCTTGAATGCTGATTTAATAAAAAATAGGCATAGCTGTTCAAAAAGTGCATCTTCCACAAAACTTTTTCTTAAAGACGAGAACAAAACAATCTATTTCATTCACCACCACTAGAGAGTAGAGAGATGTTCATAAAACCAGAAATATCTTGTAACATAGTGTTAGAAAGAAAGTAAGAGCCCGTTTCGCACTTTTTGTTACAGTTTTTTTCTCTAAAAAAAAATCAAATTTCTAGTCAAATTCTCTGTTCAAAACCTATGAATCAAACAGGCCAAAAGATTACTTAAAAGTCGGCAATTATCAGTTATTGTTTCAGAAAATTTAATCTACCAAGACTAGTTTTTCGGGATCAGCTTTTCCTTGATACACACTCAACAACAAAGGCGCTTCCTCCGGGTACTTTGTCACATACCTGGCCAAGAAGTCCTTCTCCACACATTTCAAAATGCTAACAAATGTAAGCTCTCGCTTTTTGATCAGTCCTTTCGACAACAAAACTCGAACCACCGAACATCGGGGAAACGTCCTCTTCTCAAAGCTGTAAAACAGAATCCATGGGCACTTCACAATCTTCTCTGACGGCCATTCCATTTCGTTCACTAGAAAATTCATCGTCTTCACAATCTTCTCCTCTGACAACAGCATGCATTGCGGGTGCACCCTAAACGCGTGGAGATTCTCATCTTCAGACCAACCATAACGCTTGTAAACCTCCCAACACCGTTTCCACGCATTCGTATGGCTCTTCGTCGAAAATATCCGAATCGCCAATAAAAACGAGAATTTCTCCGGAGTAAACCCCAGGTGTTCAACCTTCTTCACAATTTCACTGAACGCTTCAGTCTTTGGCATCACAACCTCAGGAAAACTTTGCAGTACAGAAGCTATACCTGAATCACTAACTCCTAAATCTCTCAATAGCCTGATATTCGACAACATATATTCAGAATGACCTTCCAAGGGTACCCATTGGTGCTTTAGAGCAGAGACCACTTGTTTATCAGAAGCCAAAACACTCTTGAGTAAATTATAAGTTGGAATAATATAACCATTCAAGCTTCTACACAAAATAGAAGGGTCGGAAGACAAAATCTTCGCAAAGTCCTCCTTGGAAAACCCTTTGGAGTAGAAAAACTCAAGCTTGGGCAAAAGTGTTTTACTGGGATCCGTTAGAAGGAAACTTGGGCGTTTCCTTATGAAAGCCGAGATCTGGGTTTCCGAGAATTTGTGGTCTCTAAAGAACGCAAGAACAGAATCAGGTGTTTCTGGGTTTCGGAAATTTACCTTCTTGGAAGTTACAATGGCGGATTCTGGGGACAACCCACATGAGTTTATGAGGAATGAAACTGTAAGAAAATTTCCTTTTTCGATCTTGTCCTGCCCAGCTATTGCAGACGAAGAGAATGTAGCGGTAAGAACACCAAGTTCGGGGTTTGATTTGGAGACAAAAACTCCATTTCTGGGAAGTGAGATCTGAAGTCTTCTATGGAGAATTCCCAACATAACTGACCTGGTTTTTCGCCTCCAGTAGCTTTCGACGAGTTGAATGGATTGATCAGAAATTTGAGTGCCTTGCTCATGCACAGAAAGGAGGGACCCTAGAAAAAGGAAGAACAGGGTTTAAAGACAAAACCCCTCGTCCTCTGTCTTTGGGGGGTTCCTTTTATTTTTCTTTTTTTTTTTTGAGACATTTTTATAAATCCCCCAAAATGACACTAGTAAAGAATTAAGCTAACATATAATAATTTGGTTCCTTTAGGAAAAAAAAATAATTAATTTCGATCAAACAATTTTTGTGATTTAGTTCCTTACTTTTTTTTTATTTTTTTGTTAATTTGCTTTTCATGGAAAAACTTTTTTCAACAAACAAAAAAATAAAATAAAAAACAACGCACTAAAAAAAAGTTTTTTAAAAAAACCGCTTTGAACTTGAAGACAAAAAAAAGTTCAAGACACAAAAATTTAGTTTTTTTTTTTTTTTTGATAAATTAAAACTACATTGGAGCGGGATTAGAAAATCCCCACTGACGTAATGTTCCATTATCCTGCTAATTGATTCCTTTGAGTTGAGAAAAAAAAAATTTCCTACAACATTATCAAAACTCCAAATTTCATACTAAATTAACTATTAAATACATATATGGGGATAGAAATGCCAATCCAACCCAACTCTACACATCGCAAAGTTTTCATATCCAATAACAAATTATTGCATATAGTTATCACCCAGATTGCAACCACCTTTTCGTTACATCACATCGGACAGTTTCTTAGCAAAACACGCAAGACGATTTTATATACATACACACATTACACAGACATACTAAGGACTCGAGTAATATGCTTGTCATGGGCGCATTTTCTTTCAACTGCATTGCACTCGGCCATTTGTTCTTCAAAATAGCGCCAACATACGTGTGACCATGGTGAACATACGTATGCTGCAAGACGATCCTGATACCACCAAAATCATCGGATGAAAGTATAATTAAAAGCAATCCTCTAATCCTCTACCAAAAGATAAATAAAAACGCCCTCCCCTTGCTGATATTTGGTCACGCTTGGAGGATAATTTGTCTCGGACTGTAGTTACATATAAACCGCGAGAAACCCAACTGCACATGAATCACAAATTTTGCCCACCAGGGATGAAAATCGAAAAACACTCTCGCAACATGATGACTGCTCGTCATAGTCGATGGAAATCAGCAGTAAATGGTTCATGCAAAAGATGGAGTTCTCTGAGAGAGCAGAGCCACCAGGGATCCAGGATCGGTCACCGGAGCGCTGCAAGTGAAGTTCTGGCAGACAAGAGCAACCACCTTGTCTGCAGCAAAATTGTTCTTGGCCATGAGAGCCACATTGCTGTTGTTCTCTTCCCAGAATTGCATCTCTTCCCCATTGGAAGGGTCAATGTGGATAACCTACAAGAGTAGTATGACTGTATTAGTGACATTAGTCAAAAATCAGACCTGACTCCAAACAAGATGATGGGTTTTTAAGGAATTTTGGACTTGAAACAGGAATATATATATATATATATATATATCTGTTAACTCACTGTTTTATTGGGATCATATAGTGCGTGAGCAGCGACCAGCATGTTTTCGAACTCCGAAGAAGGCTTATGGCCAACCAAGACAACTTGCCTTCTTGAAGGGACAGCGAGCATGTCTGCTGCACAACACATCAAAGGCACTGCCATGGCCACGTCTTTCAGCCTTGTCTCAAAAACAGCCTGTTATTGACACGGAACAGAACAATTAAAGAAGATGGGAGTTTTTAGACCCAGATAATGTTGTTCTACTTTTGAACTGAAGTGATTTCAAACCAGAAGATGCTCTGCATTCTGCCTGTAGTAATCGGACTTGTTGCCAGTAACCATGGAAGCCAATCTCACAAGATTAATCACAGAAACCGAGTTCCCAGAGGGTTCGGCCCCATCGTGATCTTCCTTCACACGCAAGAGAACAGAAGGATCTTCCCCTGGGGTATTATAATACCCTCCTCCCTCCTTATCGAGAAATAACTCATCCTGCAAATTGCTTTTATGTCAGATTAACAGTAATGCTAGAATTGAGAAATTGATATTTGGAAAGAAAACGTCAGTTCTTGCCTGTGTATATTGTAGTTCGATAGCCCAAACTAGCCAGTTGATCCCACCACCAAATTCATAAAGATCCAGCAAACCCGAAATAAGGAAAGCATAATCATCTAGAAATCCAGGTGCTTTTGCTGGGCCGTTCCTAAAGCTGTGCTGTAGCCTGTGTGTTAGCTGGTCATAAAGCTGTCTCCTGATAAAAGATGCTGCCTTTTCCGCAACTTCCATGTACTCCTGAGGCTGCAGTTTATGAAATGCCAAAAATCGAAAATGATCAGCAGATTCAGAAATGGAATAATCACATTTCAGAATAGATCTTCAAACACAAGCCTTCAATTGAACTTAAAGAGTCTTAAATCCTGAATTTTTCCCATCACAATAGATTACGTTTGATTCATGCATGTTTATCAGATTTCCCAAGTTACTTGACCCACAAACTCGTCCGCCTACGGCCTATCGTATGTTACATTCTTGGGCAATGAGTATTCAACCACGCTAAATGAACCGCATCTCTATTAGCTTCAAACTTAATTAACATGATGCATGGTAAACAGATTGTCACAACTAGACTTTCCTGCAAACCCACCTTACTAAGATGTGCAATTTGTAACGTACATTAAATAAAATCAAGGAACAGAAGACAGAAACTTACATCACATCCAACAATAGGAAAGTGGAACTTAGTGCCCTTAGCTTCACCCTTGAGAATTTTAGAACCTCTTGCAAAAGATGAAATTGCTAGTCCATTCCACGATACGATTACCTAAAAAGAACCTCAATCTGTTAAAGTGCAAATAAAAGAAATAAAAAAAGGCAGTGGTGTAGAAAATTGGTTCACTGCATTAAAAGACAATACCTTGTCATCCAAATGTGGTCTCGGTCGCCTTGACCTTACTTCAAAAAGCTTTCGTCTGCATTCACCCAGAATATCAAGATAGTCCTCAGCAAGCATGCCGAATTTTGATGCCATTTCAGAAGGGCTTTTTCTCTCAATCAGCACGTTCTTTCCCTCGAATTCTTTGTGGGGATCACTCATTCTGGAAAGATCACAATTACCTTCGGGCTTTACATAATAGTGCTCCTTGAAAAAAGTTGCATGCTCTCCAAGCACATCTTCAACCTAACAGGTGAGGAAAAAATCAGTGAAACAGAATAGAATTTAGCAAAAGTAAACACCGATTGTAGAAACCTATACTCTTTATATAGCTCTAGTTTACAGGAGAGAATTTTTTGCAGTAAAGGTAAGAAACTTGACTGGTTTTATTTTTCTCCATTGACATGTTTTAAAATTAAGCAGCATTGCAAAAGTTTCCAAATGACAGCTGGTAAAGTAAAGAACTTGTATAAAAAGACTCTAGAGCCAAAATTCAAAACCGAAAACCATACAGTTGACACATTAATGAAGACATCTGGAAGTCCCAGGAGAAAAAATAAATAAATAACCTCTTTGCTTGTCCAAACGTAAAAGGCTCCTTCCTTTTTTCGTGTAGCACCTTCGGATTCAGCACTGTCAGCATCCTCTGCTGAAAATATTTCACCTTCTGGTCCAATCATGTCTCTTCTCAAGTAATCAAATATATCCCGAGCAATAGATGAATATAAGACATCTTTGGTAATGGCAAAAGAATCCAAATAAACATTAGCAAGCTGCCCTTGATCATACAGCATCTTCTCAAAGTGTGGGACTGCAAAAAAAAAAAAGGGATAGCTTTAACAATTTAAAAGACAATAGCAACTAACAAAATAATGGGGAAGTAAAATGCAAAAGCAGTTACTCTTTTAAGTAATGAAGCAATCATCAACCTAAACAAGAAAAATAGAAGCTACAGGGAAAAAGAGAAGTCTACAATTTAAAGAGAATGATCATAAAAGTGATGCTTGAATTAATAGTAAAAACTGACCGTGCCAACACTCGTCCACACTGTATCTATGAAAGCCACCTCCAATGTGGTCATGGACGCCGCCTCTTGCCATGCATTGCAAGCTGAAGAAAACCATCTTCAGACTCTTATTTGCTTCACTCGTCTTCCAAGTTTCCTCCAACTTCTTGGACCAATAAAGCATCACCTGAATCTCCACTGGTCTGGGAAACTTTGGGGCAGATCCAAATCCTCCATATTTTGGATCATAGCTTCGAGAAAGCTAGGAAAATAAAGATGGAGGAAAATGAAGAAGAAATATTAGACATGTCACCAAAACATTAACAGAAAGTATGATTTACTGAATTTAAGATATGATATTTTTTTTTCCCAAATAACGACATCAATAAAAACTTATATTCCTATGTCTAAGGTATTTTGTTTGTGTCATTTCTTTACAAGATGAGAGGAGATGCGGTATCCCTTCTTATTGCAACTCCACAAAATTAGGGAACAAAGCAAGCACGTAATGTAAAGTCTGTCGACATGGATTTAGAAAGTTCCATAATGAACTTACTTGCTCAGCACACAGACGCAATGCGGTTTGCGCAAGCCCATCTGGCAGTTTATTAGAACTAGCACCTGCTGACAGTGCCTCTGCCAGCTGCTCAATCGCAAAGGTTCCACTCTTAACAAGCGTGTCCCTTTTATTATCCCAAGCATCTTTCACCTTTCTGATAAACACAATATAGGATGAGAAAGAGAACCTAAATACGCCTGACAACATCTTGAACTTTACAACCCTTTGAATTAGGATATGGAATTTTCAATTTTTTTCGGTGGTCTCACCTCAGTATAGTCTTGAACCCTGGTCTTCCATAATTATCCTCAGGGGGGAAGTAAGTTCCGCCCATAAGAGGTTTTAAATCAGGTGACAGGAAGACACTCAATGGCCAACCCCCACCACCATATAAAGCCTGCACATACGTCATGTATACCTGAAACAATAAGACAATCTATTACCTTACAATACTGAAAATATAAAGGGAATTTTCCCATCTTAAGTGGTCTAACAATTGAAATGATACTCTCTCCAAGTATGTCGAGTAAAATCTACTTCAATTACTCAAATCACATAAAAGATTTCATCAAAATATATATATATATATATATAACATTTTTATTTATGTAGTCCTAATTGAAAACCAATTTCTTCCTCTACCTCGCAGATCTGAATGCTAAACTTACTCTGGAGTGCCTACTCAATATCACTGAAAAGTTATTCACTAAAGCTCACAAGTTTTACCAGGAAAGTACCACTTTACCTTATCAACGTCGGGCCTTTCTTCTCGATCAACCTGTTGCACTGACATGTTAAAAATAATACAAACGGCAAATACACATCAAAACTCGTTCTTTGAGATATAAATTATAATGGAACTATTTAGATAACCAGAATGACCAAAAGCGGGACATAAAAAAAAAATCACCTTGATACTAACAAACCAATCATTCAGCAGTTTAGCAACTTCTTCATCCTCAAAAGACTCCACCTCCATAACATGACACCTTATCAATAAATTACACTTCATTAATTAGCCATCATAAAAATGAATTAATGTTTAATTTATAGTAATAACCTTAAATCAAGACAACATTTTCATACGAAAAACTCACCAATGGCAGGTGCTGTATCCAACTTCAAATGCAAAGTCAACGCCAAAAATAACCAAATAAAGCAAAATTAATCAGAATTAACCAGAGGTTAGTCCATTGCTCAGATGACATATTACAAGAGGAGGACATAACAAGTCGACTAGAAAAGTCGATATTTGAATTTACTTGACAAGAAGATAGGCACGTCCCTCTTTCTAGCTTCAGCGAAAGCTTCTTCACCCCATGGATACCAATCGACCTTTGTAACAGAGAAAAAGGAGTTTCAGAGAAAAGCTGAAACCTAATTACACTCAATTAGAATCTTAAAGACTGAAAATTTCACCTCTCAACACAAAATTGAGCACGAACTCTCTTCTTTTACCACTCATTTTCTCATGAACCAAACAGAGTAGCAAGAAAAAGAGTACAGAGAGGCCGAAAAGAATCAAAGCTAACCTTTATCCTAACAAATTCTCTTTAGATACACTCCATTGGCATCTAAAGACTGAAAATTTCACCTCTCAATACAAAATTAAGAATGAATTTTCTTATTTTTTTGACTTATTTTCTTATCAGCAGTGAGAAAATGAGAACAAAGAATCACCTTGATCTTACGAATTCCCTTTAGAGTTTAGATACACTCCATTATTATCAAAAGACTGAAAATTCACCTCTTAACACAAAATTAAGCACGAATTCTCTTATTTCACCACTCATTTTCTCATAAACCAAGCAGAGTAAGTAGTGAGAAAAGGAGAACAAAGAAGCCGAAAAGAAACAAACTCACGGGGTTATGGGCATGTTGCAGAAGATACGGACTGTGCTCGGAGGCGAGGCGATTGGTGTGCTTGTGAGACTGGGACGCGTTCTCCGATTTCCGTTCCGCCATGGCCAAGACCTTGGGAACGTGAAACCTTCGAGGATGAAAAACGGGCGAGAAGGGGGAGGAAAACTTGGCAAAGCGGCCGTACAAGTAAGCGTTGTGTTTGGGAAGAGAGGAGAGAGATTGTTGGAATTGGCGAGAGAAGCGGCAGAGGAGAGAGGAAGAGAGAGGTAGTCCTCTGAGCATAGGAGGGTGTAGAAGCAAAAAAGTACGGTCATAAGAAGAAGAAGAAGGCAGTAGAAGTGGGAGAGAAGAGGAGAAGAATGTAGGGTGTTGGCGTTGGTTGATGAGGAAATGCCATGTGTGGGAAGCTGGTGATGAGGCGAAAAGAGGCATGTGGAACTTTGGGCTTCCTTGCCGCTTGGGATTGCTTGCATGAATGACAACTGGCCCACCCTTCTGTATTATAATACATGCTACTAAAAGAGGCACCCGAATTACTGTTCGTGCTCGGTCTCTTCGGTCCTTTTGTTTTGTGTTTCATTTTTTTTTATGTCCGTTGTGTCCTTTTTTAGATTTGTCATGTGATTTGACATTTTTAACCTTAGTTTTTTTTTTTACACGGGGTTAGTTATATGGCCGGCTATATTAGTATTTTCTCTCTCTTTGAAGTTTCTAGGCCTCTTCTCTTTGTTTGTCTACTGATTTGATGTTTTCGGTGGGAATGTTTTGCTTGACTCTTTGTTTACTCGACTCTTAACTTTTTTTTTCGCTTTCTTATTGGAAATGAAAACACGCTTTGGTTTTCATTTCTTATCTGTTGCTTTCTTCGTTTTCTATTCTTTCTTTTTCGTCATTTCCCTTGCGATGAAGTTTTTACTCTTTTTTCCTTTTGGCAGGTATTTTTTTTTTCACCGGTTGTTCTCTTGGTGGAAATGAAAAATTTTAGGGTTTCATAGTTTTTATGTTTTCAATGGAAATGAAAATTTGTTGGGTTTCGTAGTTCTGACGTTTTCGGTAGAAAATATGTTCTCCGATTTTTTTTTCTCTTTTGTTCTCTTAGTGAAAATGAAAGATTTTTACTTCTTTCCATTTTTCTTCTTCGTCTGGATTTTTCCTGTTTTTTTTCCTCATCCTTTTTTTTTGAGTTTTTTTTTTCTTCATTCAAAATTGGTATTTTTATATTTTTTTCACCCCCTGTTTTTTTCCTTATTTTATTCTACATTTTTTTCTTCTATTTGTATTTACATTTTTGCTACGCTCTTTTTTTCCTTTGTTTTTGTTCTTTTTTCTTCACCAAGGATATCTATATTTTTCTTCTCTTTTTTTCTTTTTCCCGGTTTTTTTTTCCCAGTTTTTCCTTTTCTTTCTTCCCTTCATTTCAGCATGTAGGAATTTTATCTTAGAAGTGTGAGGGAAAAAAAATTTCATTAGCTGAAAAAAAAATTTATTAGTGGTTTTTTTTTCTCCCGTTTTATTTCTCAAGATAAACATTAATTTTTTTCAAAATTTTTTTAATATGGTTACCGTATCATTGTGTTTTTTTTTTTGCCACGTGTTTTGATTCTGCTATATGTCTCTAATATATTTATTGTCTATTGGTATTTGGTTCGATCTTCATATGATTTTCATGCTCTTTGACACTTGTTTTTACGAAATGATTATAGCGGTTCTTTTTTTGGTTTAACTGTTGTGATCTATTGATGACCATAAATTTTTTTTCTTCATGTATAAATAAAGACTTCTATTGTATTCTTATAATTTGTAATTTTGTTTCTCACTGTTTTTCTTCTCCGACTATTATATTCTACTCTTTATAGACTACTTGATATAACACTTCTAATACTATCTTTGATGTTTTCTGGATACTGGATTCTCTTTGGCTTCGTCGGTTTTGAATATTGGGCTTACTCTCTTCGTTGTTCTGCTTTGATTTAGGTACTTATCTCTTAATATATGCATGTATTTATGTTTTATTGTTTTCATTCTTTATTGTCATGTTTAGTTTGAAATTGATTATCATTATTTATATTGATTTTTACCTTCTGGATATGAATATTTTACGTGGTTTGATTAACAAAAGTTTCTATTGTTCATTCGTTTTGATTCTGTGAATATAATTAAATATTAACTCTTTTCCTCCAATTTTAAATACTGGGTCTTTTTTTGTCTCTGTTTTGGAGATTTTTTACTTACCCTGCATCAACTCTGTCCACTTTCATTCTTTGTCTGAGGTACTCATTTCTTACTGCTTCCATGTTACTTTTAATTACTTTAAAGACTGGGTATTATATTGCTATGAGTTGTGATGTCTATATATTCAGTTGTTCGTATATATGTTTATTGTTTTATGTTGTTACGATTGTGTTTGCCTTGAGTTTGTCATATAATTTCTAACATAATGTTCAGTATTTAAATTATATAAGTTATTGTTATTTGGGTAAAAATTTAGTTCCTATTTTGTTTGTTATTTTAATCTATTAAGAGTTCGTTTTGTATTGCACTGAATAGTATTGCTAAATCACATTTCAATTACTTATGATGCATGATGTTAGCCATTCAAGGAAAATACCTCAACCAAATTTTCCATATGTGCTTGTTTATTTATTTTTCCTTTCTATTATCCATGTAATATGCTATTTTACATGAGTTTTTTCTGTTTCATATACTTTCATCAGATTTTCCGTTATTGTGGAGACTATTTTTATGGCATGTTTGTAGCTTCATTATAGACGTTGTATAAATAATGTATGCTGCATCTATGAAACAGTGAATGAAAAAATTTTATTCCTTATAATTGAAAGAGGAGACATTATTTGAGTTTTTGTATGTGTGTCACAGTATGTTTACATTATTAAAGATTTATTAACGGAGTTTGGCCGGCGTCTGAAGATGCGACATTGCTATTATGATTTATCAGCAAATGAAAGTTTCAGATACAACAGTAGAGTAGTAAGAATGTGAAAATATGTATATTATGTGAATATTAATGTAAACTTATTGTAAATAATATTTTTTTTCCATTTGCTTTTGAAGCGTGTGTATGTTGTGTAATTATTAATGATACAAACTTTTATGGGAATGTTTGGAACAATGGTTCGTTTCTAGTTTTGAATTATGACTATTGATTCTTTATCGTGTTTTTCTCTCATAAAAAATTTAAATTTCAAAAATCAGAATCATGAATAATGGTTCTAAACTCATGAACCAAAATTCAACCAGACTTGTTGTTTCCTTCAAATCTATATCGTTGAATAAAGAATAAAGTGACATTTTTGTACGATACACACTCTAATTGTGCTCTGTAACGACATAGATGTTTTTAATAAAATTTCACATGTCACACATATTTTAAATTTATTTGTAATGTATCACATTTGCTATAAACTTTTAAATATCTTTTCCATATATTTTTTGCAGAATAAATAATAATTTAATCATCATTGAATACATTTTCTCATTTAAATAATTGCACGGATAATCCACTTGTCTATTGCTATAGAAGAAGTTAAGGAAATGAGAGAAATATTAGTAAAAAAAAATTATTTTTTTAAGAGTGCATGAGTTTTACTTGTAATATCTTTTAAGGTGTTATTCTATAGGTTGTTCTATCGATATAATTAATTTTTTAATTGTTAAATTTTATTAAAATTAAATTAGATTAAAAAAATATACATAATATACAGTTTTTAATGTAGATTTAACGCCTGAAAATGGTTAAAAAAATAGAACTATCAGTAGTTTCATTTTTCTAATCTTACGGGAGAAACTCCTTTATCCTTTTAATTAAATAACTATATTAATTAAGAGTAATGAATAAAAATCAAAACATGTGCATTTTTAAAGATAACTTCAATAATTTTCTCATAGAAAGTTTATCTTGTGTTATATATAAAAAGAGCACCTTATAAAAAATTATTAGGGGCATCAACAGTGTTAAACACTAGTATGTGGGCTTCATTATGACTCTTATATTGTGAAATCCATTTTTATTAGTGGATGGTGCTATGCACGCTCCTTGTGATGATTCGTGTGCATCTATAAATATAAACTGCTATGCACATTAATGTGTGCTTGAGTATTGAAAAATGCTCTTCGAGTTTATTTTGAATTAATGTTCTTAGCATTATTCTTAATTATTATGTGAATAACACCAGCAATACGAAATCAAATCTCAATCAAATCTCAACTCTTGTATATTAAGGGTGTGTTTGATTACAGTATTAGTGTTAGAATAATAACAATAATAATAGTAATGACATACAATAGAAAGGAAAATATATGCACGTGTTTGGTTAGTATTTCATAAATACTACGGAATGGAATACAATTATTTTTACTTTGACAAAATTACTCTTATCTCTAACCTACGATATATAAAAAGTATTATTTATTAGAGAGACGGAGACCTTATTAAACAAATACAAAAATAATTTGCTTACAAAAATATCAATTAAAATAAACTTGCTTGGGGTAAAAAAATTAATGGAGCGGCTGTCTTCCACTTCATTGATGCTTTCAACAAAGCACAGAACATGTTCTGATTTGGAGGTTGAACATGTTCAGATCAAATCAATACAAAACAGAGGTTGATTTGTTGTTTTGGTTTGGTGAGCAGTTTGAGGCGGCAGAGATGGAGCTCAAGCTACTGGTGCGACGGAGATGGCAACCCCGCGAGGAGGCAACAATGCGAACCTAGGTTGGAGGAAATCTGCGCATCTGGTAGGTGCAGTGGAGATGGTGAATGTGGCGACAAGGTGCAGAGGAGGAGATGGGCTTGGAGGAGCGAGAGTGGCAGATCGGTGCTCGTGGTGCTTAATCAGCATATCTAACCGGAAAAAGAACTAATAAAGCTCGGAATTGTCATTCTTCTCACTGAGAAAGGAACGATGATTCAACTAAAATGTTGTGTTTGTTTGTTTTTGTTTTTAAAAACGTTTTTCACATTTTTTGAGGATAAAAAATTAAAACAAACACAAGAAACGTGTTTGGTGTAACAAGTTATCAAAATTGAAAATAAAAACGTTTTTGTCATTTTCTTAAAATCTGAAAACGACTAAAAATCGTTTTTTCCGTTTTCGTTTTTATTTCCTTCTTCTCCCATTTGCATATTCCGATTCAACCATCTCATGAGCCTTCACCAGCGACCATCCCCACCGTCGCGTTTGGGCCCGGTGGCGGTGGCGGGAGACCCGGAGTCGGAGCCGTACAACATAATCTCGATGCACAACATGCTGCGGACCACCCGTCGTTGCTGTACCCGGAGGTTCGAGCCGCAGCGGGGGGTTCGCGGGCCGCGGCGGCGCCCCCCCGCGGCTCTGCGAGCCATCAAGGACCTCCGTCGGCCATCGTTCGCAACAGACATTCTTAAGAAAACCCCATTCATGTGTGATCTTCCACTTTCTTGTCGTTAGGGGGATAGCGGCTTGTACTTGGTCAGCGGCGAGATGAAGGGTGTGATCGTCCACTTGCGACATTGATTTTTGTTCTCCCGGATATTATTATTTAAAATACTATTACATGTTTTTTAAACTACCAAATGCAGTTTTAATTTTTTTTTAAACTGAAAACAATCTCAAAATAAAACTACCAAACGCATTTTCAGAAATGATTTTAAAATGAAAATGAAAACGTTTTCGTTTTCATTTTCATATAGAAAACAAAATTATTTTAAAACGAATTCTAAGAAATCGTTCCTCTCTTCCGTTTACTAAAGACAACCAAACATCAGAATTGAGCATGTTTCATCCTTTCCATTCCATTCCTTTCTCCCAACCAAACGCACCCAAAGGTTATACAAGTTCAAATGGGTGTTCTGTGTTCCCACGGACCTACTTGACCATGTCAGAGGCCACCAAAGAATCATATGCACCACACGATTGCATCTATCTTCACCAAATTCAATGCTTTTTTTTTTTTTTTTTTCCAAACAGTCATCTAAAAATGTATACTAAACATGGTCTCATCAGCAGAATCTTGCCAACCATAACGCCACAAAATGCTTTTGAAAATCAGACAGCTGAAGCCCCCACCGATTCAGCAAGCTCTTCCAGGAGTTCCTTCTGATAAATGGCGGCACAAGCCTGCAAGAATCAACCATTGCGGTAATGTGAATTCATAAGGTCCTTCGCAAGCAACTTTATGGAAGCCGTATCTGTGTTCTTCTTAAGTTGAAAGATCAAAAGAAACAACGCGGAGTATCGAGGAGAAACTACACCTGAACCGCATTCTCTATATCACCATCAAGAAAAGAGGTGAGTTCAAAGTTCATCTTTAACCGATGATCAGTAACTCTATTGTCCTAAATGAAGATGAAAAAACAGGGATAAGCGTGAAGAAATAAAAAAGAGAGGGAAATGGATAGGGCCTACTTCGTTAAGCTCAAGATACTACCTTGTAATTATATGTTCTTATCTTTTCTGCGCGAGCACCAGTACCGACCTGCATTTCAAGTATATAGTTTGTATAAGCTAGTTCATTGTCTAGATATATGAGAAGCGGAACATACATCATCAATAAGTTCAATAAGTTACTATCCAAGGAAATCAACTAAAAATACAAAAGTTTGGAAGTTGACAATTGACTGTCAAGTGGATGCTCTACGCCTTTCAGTGATGAAATATCGTATGCACTTCTCAGAAAACTTTTAGTTTTAAGCTAAGAGATACCTGTGATTTCCGTTGATTCCTTATCTTTTCCTGCTGCTCCGTCACTTTTATCTCGTATCTGTAACAAGCGATTGGTCATCATAATGCACCCAAAAAAAACAAAAACAATAAAAAAGGAAGAAGGAATAAGGAACCAAAAGGATATCTTTAGAAGCACTGAAACTATAGCCCACCTGCATAAGTGATAGCTTAACAGATTATAAAAAGAAAAAACCTTTCTTTAGGTATCCGATTTTCAGAAGACTTGAAGTTTATGCCTGTTACCTTCAAGTAAAAATTTGAAAAATATTTGACATACTAAATACCACCTCATATTTTTACGGAAAAATTTTTCATTTTGTAACCACAATGACTGAATTAGGTGAATAGTGACTTGATCTATTATACAAGCTAAGAATGAATATCATGTTAAAAATCAGCATATTTAGCAGGACCATCCAATATATGGTTCAGAGCTTTAAACTAAATGGTGAAAATGGTACTCACAATTTTGCTCGTAGCAACTGAAGAGCACGAGTCTTGTTCCGAAGTTGAGTCCGTTCTTCAGTACAGAATATGCGGATTCCCGTTGGTTTGTGGAAAAGATCAACAGCTGTCTCAACCTTGTTAACATTTTGCCCTGCATGAGATTTGACACAAATAAGATTCTTCTCCAAAAGAGAGATAAAAATGGAAAGCAAAACACTATGTCAAGAAATATACTCCCAGCAATAGATTAATACCTCCAGCTCCCCCAGATCTTGCTGTCGTTAGTTCAATATCCTTTGGGTCAATTTCCACCTCAACTTCATCAGCCTATATCAGATATAATATCAGCATACAGTCGAATGAAATATAGAAAACTAATTTTTTTTTTAAATAAGAATGATCAAGGAGATGATATAGACGTAGCATTTACAACACTATTATCTTCAAGAACTAGGAGTTTGTGGCGGGTGCAAATGTACAACTTAACGAAATAACAGACACAGTCTAGGCAATTTCAAGTTCTGGTCACCAAATATTAACTTAATTCATCAGTGTTAACTCCAAATTGTAGCCAACAAATGTTCTATTTCCAGTTTTTTAAAAGAAGAAAAAACCAAGCGTGGAAGGTCGACCTCTTTCAGCCTGATATAACCATAAATGTTAAAGTTTGAACACTTGTAACATTTTCACATCAATGTATCCTAAATGAAAAACAGATCCTGGCAAAATGAACATGCATTAGTATAAGGTTCTACGTTAGGTGCACTTAAACTACAATGACATGAATATCAATAGAGGCCCCAGATGTACATAGGCATTTGTCATTAATGGAAAAAATATAGTCTACCTCGGGCATAATGGCAACCGTTGCTGTGGAAGTATGTACACGACCCTGTGCTTCTGTTTGCGGTACACGTTGAACCCGATGAACACCAGACTCATATTTTAATTTGCTGTAAACATGATTTCCTTTTATCTCCATCACATAGGTTTTGAAGCCTCCTTTTTCCGCCTTATAAGAAAAAAGAAAACAAGAAACGAAGAAGAGAAGTAAGAAATTTCTGTCACACATCTTATCTCAAATAGTATCATGGATGCAGTATCCAGAAGACCTACCTCGGAGCTTGAAAGTGGAGAAAACTTCCAAGAATTCCGCTCACTGTACTTCTGATACATGCGAACCTTTGTAAAGAGAAAAAAAAAAAAAGAATATTGGAAAAGCATCAGGGTCTGTTTGGGTTGGGAGTGGTGCAACCTTTCAAATTAAGATAATCAATTTTCTCTGTGAATTTCAATTTCGACCTTTGCCCTGTAGCAATATTCTACACAACTTGATGAAAACATGGCATATTTCCTAGTATATATGAACAACTAGAAGGACACAAGAAGCATGTACCTACAAGATCACCCGCCCAAAGTCCAGCCTCATCACCACCAGTACCGGCCCTCACTGAAACCAAAAAGAAAAAGGAAAAAAAGAAACAGAGAAAAGTACACATTTTAATAATTGTTTGTAACGAAATCACATCCAACATCAGGAAGGAGCAAGTATGCTCAACAACTCAGAAGATTGAAGCAACAACTAGGATTCAATGAAGCTTTTGGAGCTTTATGTAGTATACACGTTCCAAATTGATAAATGCCCCTTAAGTGCAATAAATACGAGCACATGGGTATGCTAACTTCTTAAGAGGTTCCTAATTCACATTTAACCAATTGAAATTTAAAGATTAGTAGATGGATAGGCTATTCTCGAAAGAGGTTCCTTGTTTGCATTTAACCAATAGTAATACGACACAATCCCCAAAAAAACGTGGCATACCTTCAAGCATTATGTTTCTCGCATCAAGAGGATCACTTGGGAGAAGTAGCACCTAGTAATATGACACCATACATTAGCGTTGGTAAAAGGTAAGAGATAAGCACAATCGAAGAAATATAGATGTCAAATTATCGTCTCAAAGTCTAAAATGTACAGGAAACTTGGTTAATCATACTATGACCAAGCTTTGCAGTCAAAGTAAGTTTAAAAAAAGCTTAGTGTGTTGATTGAATTTAGAATGGCATAAACCTTTCATGTTAAAATACCTTGAGCTTCTCCTCAAGTTCTTTGATTTCACTGGATAAAGATTCAATCTCGTAAGCAATTATCTCCGTCATATCCTCATCATTCCCATCCTCTTTTTCTAAAGCTGAACAACACATTACAAAGAGGAAGGACAACTTGAGTGTTACTACTTAAGCAAATATTCAAGATCTCAGAAAGTGTCCTACACGAGTACCCAAGTGGGTATAACATACCTTTTGTTTCTTCCAACTGTTTTTCACAGTCCTTGAATCTCCTAAAGGTTGAGACAACCTAATTCACCAAAAGCACGAAAATTCCATAAATTTTAGGAGTCTGTGATTCCATGTAAACATTCCCGGCATAGGAATGGCTAAACAAACTGTGGTACCTCATCAAGCTCGGCCATAGATTGTGCCAGCTTTTGGTATTCACTAGGATTCGAGACGACGTCTGGGTCAGCCAGCTTGACCTACAATCCAAATGCAACTTCAAATAAACATCCACCATTGTATTGGCAGCCTAATAAAAGACGATGTTTCAAAGTATTCGATTCCTTCACTAAGAAAGGCTAAAATATTCATACCTATTTTTACTCTGGAAAAAAAAAAAAAAAAAAAAAAAACAAAAAACTAAGGGTGTGTTTGAAATTGATTTTAGATTGTTTTTGAAAACATTTCTGCACATCTTTTAAGACACGGAAATGAAAGCGGTTTGCAAACCGTGTTTGTCTAGCAAATATTTTGAAAACGAAAATAAAAAACAGTGAGAATGATTTTTGTGAAGAAATTAAAAAACGGTTGAAAGTTATTTTTCCTTTTCTGTTTTCATTTCTAGTACTTATCAACAATATTATAATATATTAATTAATAATTATAACTAAACACGATTTCACTTTTTTATTATACTCAAAACAATCTCTTAAAAAACTAACCAAATATAATTTCAGAATCAATTCTAAAATGATTCTCAAAACAATTTCACTGCAAGCCGTGTTTATTTAGCAAATATTTTGAAAACGAAAGCAAAAACAAAAAACAATTTGTAAAAGAATTAAAAAACGGTTAAAAGTTGTTTTCGCCTTTCTCTTTTCATTTTCTAACATTTTTTAAGACTTATCAACAATGTTATAATATATTAATTAATAATTATAACTAAACACGATTTCACTTTTTTATTATACTCAAAATAATATTTTAAAAAAATAACCAAACGTAATTTCAGAATCGGTCTCAAAATAATTTCATTTTTACTTTTGTTCTCAAAACAAAATCATTTTGAAAACGTTACCAAACGAGCCCTAAAACTCGCTATCATTTCTGGCTTCTGACCACTGAATTTGCACTTAAAACAATTATTTCTCAATTCATTCATCCAAAAAATAAAAAAAAGTCCTAAACCAAATTCAATTTCACGTTCAATTGAAGTATATATGCTGATTTTTCTATTCAAAAACTCTCCACGTAAAGCAAAGCCGTTTCTAGTACGAATTCGAAAGGCATACCGATAATTCTTTCCACGTCTTCTCGGCAGATTCCAGCTTCGTTATCAAATAAGGCTCCTACAATCCATAACCAAACAACAATGAGAAAGGAGTACGTCTCGCATTTCCGTTTGTTTCCCGGGAAAAACAAATCTCGGGAAACAAAAGACACCAAAATTAAAAAATAAAATGAAAAAACAAACAAAATTTTCTCTCCCAATTTCCGTTCAGCTAGGAAAGAGAATACGAACCGCCATGCAAATTACTCTCCGGCATCTCGCTGGCGGCGGAGGTTTAAGCACCAGCGGAGTCCTCGAGGGCTCGCGGAAACGGCATCGTATTGTGAAGGTCGGTATTCGACAGGTCGTTGAGCTCGTGGTTAAGCCACTCATTATCAATTAGTTCGCAGTGAGAAGGAGAGAGAGATGTTTTCGGATAGAGAAGCTCTGCACTTGGACGGGGATATGTGGCGTTTTGAAGAGATAAAAGTTTGATGAAGGGGTCTGTTTGGGAACGATATTTTTTCAATCCGCAAGCGGGATAAGGATAAAAAGTTTCCTGCGTTTGGGTTAGCCCGGTTTAATTACGAACCTGGTTGCCACAATTAACGGTCAAATTACGTACCTGGTTGCGAGAATTAACGGTGGTTTCAAAAAAAAAAAAGGGGTTTACCATTTTTGCTTAAAAAAAAAAAGAGAGGTTTATATTGCCGCGAAAGTGACGGTGAAAATATAAATAAATTTCACATGGAGGTTTTTTTTTTAAAAAAAATATATATAATTCCAAATGAATTTACTGTAAATAAATTATAAATATGAAATTCGTAAGTTAACTTCATTATCATATTTGGTAGCTTATATTGTATCTTATAAAATGTATTATATTATGTTATATTGGCATGATACAATACGGTTAAAATGTATTATTTTAAAGATTTTAAGGTTAAAATGTAATTTTTTAAAAATTTTGAAATTAAAATATAATTTTTGGAAAATTTGGGGTCAAACTATAATTTTATAAAAAATGTAGGGCCAAGTGTAATTTTATAAAAAAATTGAAGGGTGTGTTTTTATTTTAAATAAATCATTGTGCCCCCTCACTTTTTAAAGAGGAAGAATGTAGTAAATAATAGATTTTTGAAATTAAGGTCTCGTTCACTTCGTTGATTTGAGTTTAGAATTCGAGTTGAGATATGATTTTATGTGAGAGCTTTTTACTGTAGTAAAAAATTTAGATGTGATTGTTTATGAGAGCATTTTACTGTAGAAAAACTCAAATTCTAAACTCGAATCAGCGAAGTGAACGAGGCCTAAATTAGTAAAAGTAAATAACAGGTTTAAAGCTATTAGAAATAAATAGTAGTTTAAGTAGTAAATGAATTATTTACCACGTAAATGGTTCATTTACAGCTAGTAAAAACATTTTTTCACATAAAGTTTGTTTTTTCGACTGGTAAAAAGAATTTTTTTCCATATAGATAAAGATTTTTTAATATTTTTTACCAGTCGTAAATGAATTATTTACACGGTAAATGATTTATTTACCATGTAACCTGCTATTTATTTCAAATAGTTTTAAAATATGATATTTACTTAATTTAGTTTCAAAAATATGTTATTTACTACAATTTCTCATTTTTAAATAATTAATAGATTCTTATGATTATATGTTAGCTTGACCTCGACCCTCAGTCGTACCAACTTCAATATAAATCATGAATCCCTTATAAAATAATATAATATAATACACTAAAAATAAGTCGTGTTCATAAACCATACTGAATATTGATTTACTATCCATAATAGTTTATACAATACAATAGTCACACTAAATATTATATTAATGCATAATTATACAATACGGTGCTTTAATACAGTCAAACAAATATACCCTTAATAAATTGATGTTAATCTGTGCCAGCCACTATGGTTGGAGTCCCCACACTATTTTTATGCATGTCAACTTCAGGTTCCCAATCTTGTGGTTTTCATGCACGAGCTGTAATACCTCAGAGAATTAAACGAGATTAATTAAGGTAATTAAGATTTATTAGTGTGCCTAATCTGGTTTAAATAATTAATTATTGTTATTAAATGTTTCTGAAGTGTAAATTTAAATATTTCTAAGGAATTTAAATATTCTCAGTATTTACATTTTTACCCCAGAAGTGTGTGTAGACACATTTTCTGGAATGTCTTTTAATTTTGTGACACTTGTCTTTTCCTTTTTCTTTTTCTTTTTCTTCCTTTTTCCTTTCTTCCCGTGCATCTTTCTCTCTCATGTCGTTTTCACTCACTCTTTCTCTCTCTCGCTCTCTCTCCCGTTCAAACCCTTACCAAATCAACCAGATTTTTGAACCAAAGAAGGAATTTAAAGAGCTTTCAACGTCAAGAGAAGGATTTGAGGTAAGATTTTTGAAAAACTTCTCTTGAATCTCGGATTTTTGGATTAGAAAACCTATTTTTGGTTCGAAAAAGATTTTCATGGATTTTGAGTAAAATCATGGTAGAAATTGGAGATCTTTGGTTCTATGAACTTGATTTAGTAACTAGAACATGGATTTGGTTGTTTTCCCTTTAGATATTTCGATTTGGAACATAAATTGCAGGTTTTCAGACTGATTCAGTTAGTTTTCCTCGCACTGCTGTTCTCCACCGGTCGACCATGCTGTCGACCGGATTGCATACCATCAGGTTGACCAAATTGCACAGCACCGGTCGACCGGTGGTGTTGCAATGCTCTGTCACTGGTCGACCGCCAGGGTTTGACCCTGTTTTGCCTGAAAACCCTGTTTTGACTTTGATTCTCGAAGAAAACCCAAATTAGCTTCATTTGGGGATCTAAAGTAAATGGATTAGCATCTTTAATCCATGTTTTGGAATTAAAACCCTTGGAATGATGATTTGAAACATGAATTGATTTATGAAACTTGAAATTTGATTAAGGCACACTAATAGGAAATCAAAGGATATAAATGAGATTGAAATTGCTTTAGGAACGAGGATTGAATCCTAAAGTGTTGTTTTGTATCAATGCTAGTTGAGGACTTGGATTGAGGGCCTTTGAGGAAGCGAAAGCCGGAATAGTGTAACGCTAGCCAGGTTTGGTACTTGTGAGGTATGATTTCTTACCCTTTCTTTGTTAGCCTGATTTTAAAAGAATTTTGGGCTTGCAAATGTTTTAAAGAAAGGACATGTTTGCTAAAGAAAAACATGTTTAAAAAATAATAGCTTGATTTTAGCTATTGGTATTATAATGAACTGTTTCATAAAGTTTAATGAATGATTTCTTAAGACAAGAGATCTTGCGAATTGGTAAACCGGCTGATGGCCTAGATGGGATGTGGAGAGTGCATGCTTGGGGGCAGAACCCGAAACCCGGCCCGGGGGTGATAAAGCTTGTAGTTGTGGTTGTGTAAGTAATTTATCATAATATAAATTACTTTAATGATGCCTGTAATACGAAGATTTTCAGTTATATTTCATTTCAGAAAAAGGATGTGAGGTTCCGGCTGTTGTGTTGGAACTGAATGTCTATATTTATTTCATTGCTTATTCATTTATTTATTTACTCATTCATTTATTTACTTATTTACAAAGCTTATTTAAAAATACATCCTACTGGGCATTTTGCTCACGTTTTATCTGTTTTATAAATATTAACCCCTCCCAGGCGACTCTAGGAGCAGTGCGGAGTAGCTGAGTTAAATTGCTACCGTCCGATTAAGAGAAGATTGTGTTCTTCATCCTTGTGAGAAAATGTAAGAATTGTAAATACTGTAAACTCTGAACTTTGACTTTCTAGATTGTGGTTGATGTCTATAATGTTATTTACATGTTCATGTATGTACAATACTGCATATCCTATGGGTGAAGCCCTGAACGATGTAAAAAGTGCAAGCGACCCCATAACTTTCTTGTAATTTATTTTCAACTAAATAGTGGGGCTCGTTTAAAAATTTCTTAAAATATTTTACTTTTGATCCTGATTATTAGAATTTCAAATGTTTAATCTCATTTAACTCCTAAACGAGCATCAACGTCATTAATTCCGGCTTCGGAGCGTGACACGAGCTTGTAGTGATAAAGCCGAGATCATGGAGGGCTGATGTTTGTTGTTGCAAAACATATGGCTGAATGTGATATGAAATGGGGCCGGTGTTGGTTATTTTTGGGTGGCATCCCAAGCACGTTGCTTCTCTGGCATATCTCCTCTTAAGGTCTCATCCTTGGTGGTCGCATTTGACATTGTTTATGGGTGAGTTTCAAAATTGAATTGAGGCTGAGGGCATGCACATTTACACAGATTTGCATATTCCTTATATGGGAGTCGTTTGTTTCGTATACTCAAACCTAAATAATTAATTATACTATAGTGTAAAACTCTCACATAAAATTTAAATTTCAAACGTCTAAATAAAAAATCATAGATTTAAATATATCTCCCAAACAGACCTGATTCATGATTCATGCTGTCAAGTTCTGACTTTTTGATGACAAAATCCCAATCTCCAAACAAGAGTGTGGAAAAAGTGTTATGTTAGGCAGCTGCGTTAGTTGTCCTCATAGTGCATGTGGGTTAGTTTGGCAATCGTCGACGTTACTTCTCTCTTCATTCTGCGCCCAATATTTTCTTGTTATTTCAAGCATTGATGGTCGTCTTTCCATTAAAAGCTTTGTTGTTGTTGTTGTTTTTTGTTTTCTTTATAGTTTTATTATTCTCCTTTTTATTGTTTAGCCTGGTTTAAATTTGTTACAACAATGGTTTTTATCCAATGTATGTTTGTCTCATTTGTTTAATGTGTGGTTATGTTTTTATATTCGCTTGGTTTGTTTCTTGACAATTTTTGTGTCACCTTCATGGGATGAGATTCTTGACAATAGTTGATTGGACATTTTTGTTGAGTATAAGGTCCCGAGTTTATAATTTAAATTTTATTACAGTAAAAAATTCTCAGAAACAGTTACATCTAATTTTTTTACTACAATAAAAAACTCTGACATAAAATCACATCTCAATTCGAATCAGCAAACTAAACTGACTCTAAATGTTTTGATAAAGATATTTGTGTATAATCAATGTTTAGTGTACTTGTTCGGGTGTATGTAACGGAGCTAATGCACACAATCTCTCTTTAAGCGTTCCATCTAGTTCACAAATATAATCACGTGATTGTCGATATTATATTTCCCATAGCAAAACGTTATTTAGGTCTAAATGGGTATTTGTATTGCCTTTTCATCTTATGAAATATAAGATATGTTTTGTTTAAAGAAAATAAATAATGATCATGATGATTTTACTATTTTTAATTATTATGATAACTGTTTCCCTAGACATTTGTCTTACATGAGAACTAGGACAGTTGTCTTTTATCACTATTAATAGTGCAATAGCTTTAAGTTTAATGATACACTAGAATTCATTATTGTCACGTAGCAATATAAAAACCCATTAAATGACGCTTCTTGTAGACGACAGTCGTGTTTTACAACTTCATTTGTAATGATAATAAATGATGAATGCCTAGTGTAATATTATTTTGCTGTTAAATTACACGTAGCACACAACTTTTCAATTGTATATCAGAACACGTGTTTGTAGTGATGTTTGTAACCTAACGAAATTCAGCTTCTTGATTTTTTTTTTTTTCAATACATCTTAAGTAAGATCTGGTTACTTTTTCTTCTAGAAAAAACTTCATTGCCATCATTAAGCGTATAATAATCTTTCCTTTCAGTGGACTCGGACAAAGAATGCTGTGCTTGTTTTTTCGAACCATTGTTTTCCACTTTAAAATATCTTATAGTCCGTTTAGTTCGTTAATTCAAATTTTTAATTTGAATTGAGATATGACTTTATGTGGAAATTTTTTATTGTAGTAAAAAAGTTAAATGTAACTGTTTATGAGAACTTTTTACTGTAATAAAATTCAAATTCTAAATTCGAATCCGTAAAATGAACGGAGCCTTAATTTTCTACATATATTCCGCACTCGTTTATACTATATACCCTGTTCAAGTACATTGTGTCTTTGAGTCCAATATATAAACAATTTCTATGGTCTCTTTTATTTTATCAATTCGAGTTTTCAGTTTTAAGTTTTTACAGTTAAAAGTTTTCAGAAAATGCCACATCTAACCTTTTCTGCTACAGTTAAAAACTCTTAAAAAATATCACATCTCAGCTCAAATTAAAAACTCAAATCCGTGAAACAAACGAGGCCTATATTCACGATTATGCATTTGTTCGCTTGATGTCAACAACTACATGCTGTATCAATGGTTCAAAAAAACCCTCCATTCAAATTGCAATGGCCTAAATATCCAAAAAAGAAAAAAAGTCCAATGGACTAAATCCATTTGTAAGAAATTGTGGCTTCGTTCACTTCGCGGATTCGAGTTGAGATGTGACATTTTATGAGAGTTTTGTACTGTAGCAGAAAAGTTAGATGTGACATTTTCTGAGAACTTTTTACTGTAGAAACTTAAAACTGAAAACTCAAATCGGTAAAATAAACAAGACCTATGACAAGTACAAAAAGATATCGAGACATTATACATATATATTGAACTGTAACTTTTCAAATTCAAATTTCTCTCCACCTTATCATGTGTTATTTGATTTAATTGTCATTGATTTAAAGGCATAATTTAAATCATAAAAAATTTCTTAAGTACTTTTTTTTTTTTGCACAATTCTAGTGTGGATTTGAACAAATTCTGCTATGTTTTAACCTTTATAAAGACGAAAAAAGAAAAAAGGGAGAGAAAGAAAAAGGGTTACACCAAAACAATAGCATAGATGATATTGTGGCAGATTCCCAACTTCCCAAATGAGAAACTCGTTAGGGACAAACAAAACAACAATAGGCAATGTACTCAAGGGCAACTACCAACCCCTTGTCCTCCAATCAATTTTCCCAACTTCCTTCCCAAGCAATCCTCACCACCATCATCATCATCATCATCATCATCCATCCTCAACAATAAAAAGACAAATTATCATCACAAAATTTCCACTGACGCCCCCAAAATTACAGTTTCACCCCATCTCTTGTCGCGTCTCGTCATCAAAACATCAACAGTAAATTGACCACCTAACCAAAACCCCGTCCGGCTTTAAATCCCACACCCCCGGGAGGACTCTTTCGTAATTTCAACTGGGGAAAGAGGCAAATTATCATTACCCAAAAAGCCCCACCCTAATTCCCATGACGCCCCTAAAATTACATTTTCACCCCTCCCTTGTCGCGTCTCGTCATCAAAACATCGTCAACCGTCCGGGTTTAAATCCCCTCCCCCCGAGGACTCTTTCGTAATTTCAAATGTTCCATATTCCAGTGTCGGTTTCCAGTCCAAGTCCAAACGGAAAAACACAACGACCAGTTTTATAGGCCAAAATTCCCACGAACCTCATCCCCTTCCACGTGCGATGCGTTTGGCGGGTACGAAATACCAGTCCCCAATAAAGAAAATAAAAAATAAAATAAAAATTAGGAATAGTAAAACAAGAAAAAAAAAAAACGAAAAAACAAAAAATGCCCAAGACCAGACCGTACGGTCTTGGTGAGAGAGAGAGAGATTTTGGAGAAGAAGAAAGACGAAAAAAGCTATTGAGAGCTTTTCATTAGTGTGAGATTTACATCTCTGTCTCCCTTGGTGCGAATGAAAGCCACTCGATCGAGCTCTCGGATCTTTCTCGAACACTACTACTATAGAGTACTGTAGAATCGTTTTCTGTTTTTTCCTTTTTCGTTTATTTTTCTTTTCCGTTAGTTTTTTTTTTGGATACAGTTTTGTGTAGTACAGAAACCCAGTTTCGTTAAAACAAAAAGGGAAAAAAATAAAATAAAGAAGCTCTCTCGGGTTCAATGGAGTTGTACGGACGGAGCCCGGCGAGGAATGGGTCGAATCAGCCGGAATGGAGCCCGGACGCCGGCGAGACCGGTCTCGAAGGTGAGCTATTTCTTTATGGTTTTTGCTCTTGAGTTTTGAATTTCGTTTGGAGATTTTCCGGCTAGGGTTTCGCAATGTGGGGTTTTGGCTAGGGTTTTGATGTGGATTTTGGGGGAGAATTTGTGTAGAATCGATGTGGCAATTGGGGCTGACCGGTGGCGAATCGTACCCGGAGCGTCCCGGCGTGCCGAACTGCGTGTACTACATGCGAACTGGGTATTGTGGATATGGTGTCCGGTGTCGTTACAACCATCCTCGTGATCGCGCCGCGGTAAAATCCTTTTGTCGTCGTTGACTGTGTCATTAATAGTTAATTAATGCCATTATTGCGTTTATTTAAGAATTACTCTATTTTCACACTCTCTCAGCAGTAGCTTATCTTATACTTAAAGGAACTTGTCTTCGTATGCTTAACTTGAGTGTTAGTTTATTGTTAGCTTGTTTCTGATGCTCTTTTGTCCGAATTTAATGCTGTTTAATGTGGTAACAAAGCTGAGGAAATGGAATTATGGAAAATGGAGTTCGTTTTGGAATCTAATGGTCTTTGGGTACTTAAAATTTGTCTTCATTAAGCTTCATGTTTGTGTTGTTTTGGGCTTAGTGGTGTGATGGTGGTTGTCCTACTCGGTGCCCACAATTCTACACTTTTTTTCCCCTCCTTGACAGTGGTCAAAATGGTCTCATTAGTGTTTTTGTTTTGGGTTTAATGATTCACTTAGGTGGCGGCAGCTGTGAGAGCTACGGGGGAGTACCCGGAGCGAGTGGGAGAACCTGTATGTCAGGTAAGTTTAGTTATTTCAGTCAGTAAAATGGTCTTACTGATCGTCATGTTGATAATGTAGATATTTGGAAAATCTGTAAAGTTTTATCTGATTTAGCCTCTTAGTTCTTTCTAATACATCTATGGTTTTGTTGCTTAATGAACAGTATTATTTAAAAACTGGGACCTGTAAATTTGGTGCGTCCTGCAAGTTCCACCATCCGAAACATGGAGGTGGATCTTTGAGCCAAGCTCCACTTAATATTTATGGATACCCATTACGACCGGTTTGATTTCTAGCTCTTATCTTCTCTTTCTCTCCGTATACAATATCTAGCAAAAATATGAACTCTTACACAATCGTCACTTTACATATATATACCTATGGATTTGAGTTAGTTTATAGCCCGTATAACCCACACATATTCCATTTTAACAGGGCGAGACAGAGTGCTCCTACTATTTGAAAACGGGGCAGTGCAAATTTGGTATTACTTGTAAATTCCATCATCCTCATCCTGCCGGCACCTCAGTGACGGCTTCTGCACCTCAATTTTATCCACCGGTGCAATCTCCTTCAGTTCCTATACCTGAACAATTTGGGGGGCCATCCACCAGCTTGAGGGTGGCTAGGCCTCCATTATTACCCGGTTCATACGTGCAAGGGGCTTATGGTCCTGTGCTATTTCCTCCTGGAGTAGTTCCTATACCTGGGTGGAATCCTTATTCGGTATGATGGAAACATTTTCACAATGACATATGCTAAAAGGACCTATTACTGATTGCGTTATTGGATCATTTGGTGTAGGCACCTGTAAGCCCTGTACTATCTCCTGGTGCTCAGCCCACAGTTGGAGCTGCTTCTATGTATGGAGTAACACATCTATCTTCTTCAACCGCTGCACTTGCCAGACCTTACCCCTCTTTACCCTCTTCTATTGGCGCTTCAAGCAGTAGTCCAAAGGAACAAGTTTTTCCTGAGAGGCATGGTGAACCTGAATGCCAGTACTATCTAAGAACAGGGGACTGTAAATTTGGATCATCATGTCGTTATCACCATCCTCGTGATCGAGTCATGCCAAGGACAAATTGTCTCCTCAGCCCAGTGGGCCTCCCCTTGCGCCCGGTACCCAAAGCTATTCACCCACTTTTGTCACGCTGAGCGTTAATAGTTATTTTCTCTCTTCTGAATTGTCTTCTCTTTTCATTCCGCTGCTCCCTACTTTCAGCCCTTAATTATTTATTTATTCTTCAATGAGCCTATTATTGATGTTCATCTTCATATTTCTAAAGGAGGTTGGGCTTGTTGTTTACTATATTTTCAGCCAATAGTTGGTTTGAATCAGTGCTACTGTATTGTCAGACTTGAGAGTAGTTGGATGATGAGATCTTTCTTTAGAAAATTTACAACAAATTAAGTTGTTGTTGGGGTGGGTTGTGGTTCGTTAGATAGTTTAATGTGAGTAATTATTCATTATGTATTCTACAAATCCTAAAAGTCTTCGTTCTCTTTACATTTTGATTACGAGTAGCATGTCCAGTTCTGTGTTTCAAATGAGTTCATCTTTTTCAGATGTTGAAAAATAGGTTCAAATCAGGCGTTTCTGTGTTTCAGAATCTCAGATGTTGCCATTTTCAATGTAGTTGAAGTTTTGACAATTATCTTAGGTTATGCAAATCCTTTTCTCTTTCCTTTCCTCTGTATTGTGAAGCAACTGTAAGGGCTTTTATGTATATTGCTGATAGGGTGCAATGTATGTATCTGACTGCTGAGGTTGTGCCGAAGGCTTGTAGCTAATCTGCTTTTGTCATGCTGTGTCTTACTCTTAGTTTTGTCTTTGTGTATAACACGTGTATGATCTTGATGCATAATACGCGAGTGCTTCTGTGCCTATGATTTCTTTTGAAGACATATGTTGCTGCTGATGGCTTGAGCATGTCACATTGACGATGAACACTAAATCATCGGGTTTCTTGTTCATCACAATTATATCATGCAAGAGATAACTTCCCCTCCCCCCCGCCCAATGATATATGGTTGATAAAGTCAGCAATTAAGTCTATTGCTGGTTCTTGATGACTTTTTCTTGTTTCTTTGATTTATGTGCCATCGAGAGTGCTCTCTTTTGAGCATTTATTGTGCTTGACTTATGTTCTTAATCTACAGGGCGTGCAACCTTGTACTTTCTACTTGCAAAATGGGCATTGCAAGTTTGGATCCACGTGCAAATTTGATCACCCAATCGGGACAATGAGATACAGTCCATCAGCCTCTTCTCTCATCGATATGCCTGTTGCTCCATATCCAGTTGGGTCTTTACTAGCTACCCTGGCTCCTTCATCGACGTCCTCAGAACTATCCAAAAAGGAATCTTATTCAGCAAGAATGCCTTCTACTGGGAATACTTCAACTAGTTCAGTTGGTTTAATTTTCTCTCAGACCGGATCTGTTTCACTTACTGACGTGCAACTTTCTACACAAAGTTCTGTCCCTTTGAGTAGTAGCAGAAGCACAAGACAAGGCGGTGAGGTTCGACGATCAAGCTAATTAAAACGCAAGTCATTCTCCATTATCTTTGGGTGGGGTTTTCTCCTGCCTCATTATGTTTGCTGTTTATATATGTTAGTAAATGTGTAGTGGTCAATTGTGCAAAGGTTTTCGCGTCTCACATTCAAGGTCTATCAAACAACTCTGTTTAGCTTATGCTAGGATTTGGATAATTTATGCTCATGTCAAATATATGCAGCCACCAACGCTATCTCAAATAAGCTTCAAAGGCAAATCCGTATGTATTGTTCCTCACTACCAAGTAATTATGACAGAAAGCATTCATATCAGGTAAACCTACAAGCTTCCATTCAACTTTAAGCTAGTCCATTTTATTAGTATTCTGATACCCGGGTTTGACCTTCGATGTTTAAAGAGAAGATTGTTGGTCTTTTCTTGTCTAATTCCGTAAAATTAGTTGCAAAATCTCTTGCAACTAGCCAGTCAGTGTTTGAAGACAAAGTCTAATTTTCTGCTCATCGAAGTTGTAAGATGCTTGTTTATGTAGAAAATATTTTTGAGGCCCCAAGAACTGGGAAGCCACTTTTGGCATCCACATTTTTAATTCCACGAGTTGTTTAGATGGTTTTGATCCTTGGAAAGTGAGAAGCATCCGAATTCTTATATGTTTGGGAGCAATGCTAAACCTTAGATATTCTGTTGAAATCTTGGATTTGTTGAAGAGATTATCCTTCACTGAAAATTTCTCTTTGTATTTCTTTTAGCTAGTTTTTCTGTTTTTGTGATCCAAAGCTTGGTTTTCTTTGTTTAACCTCTTTATCTTCTAATTTGTGTCATGTATAATGGAGAGCGATTTTCATATATTACCTCTCCACAAAACACATGGTATTTGGGCTTTGCCTGTTTGTGACTAGTGAAAAATTGGAGCTCGAGTTTGGGTTTTTTTTTTTTTTTTTTGGGCATATGTTTTACCACCTCATCTTCCTCTTTCCTCATACGGCTCGTTCTAAGAGAAGAGACTTCCTAGGGGTCTATAGCGATTTTGGCTCACATTTTTCTATCCAAAAGGTGAAAAATATGAAGCTGGCAAGGCCTTTGAGACGTAATGAAAAAGACCAAAAGGCGTGGAAAGGCTTCATCCTATGAGTATGCAGCACATTGGCACATTCCTGATATAGTAAGTCATACGTTCGACTTCGCTATATATAACGTGTATGTTTACTTCTGAGCATTATATTTGCGTCATTTTGGGGTGTGATATGATGTAAAAATGTCGCTGGCACTGTTCCCAAAGCAGAAAGTGTTTCTCTAACATCATCATAGTTTTACTCGAAAGTGTGAGCAAATAGAGTGGAACACTACCCCATTTTAATTCATTACTACCCCATGTGGCTGAAATTGAATTAAAGATGCGTCATAAAAATACTTGCGTGGGCTCGCTCTCTCTCTCTCTCTCTCTCTCTCTCTCTCTCTCTCTCTCTCTAGATGACGACATTCGCAATCACATGGCCAACAACAGTGATAAAATCCCATGGAATTACTTCATCAATTCAATGTTGGTGAAGGGAAGCAAATGTATAAATAGAAAGTCCCCACCTCATGCTAAGTTTTAGCTTAAAAGGCCTAGTAAAGTTTCGGCGCCGTTCGTTTTGTCCAAAAAAAGGTTTGCTTAAAATGCATTTTTGAGTCCTCATAAATGATGATGAAAATCCAAATGGCCATCATTGGCAATGGTAAAACGTCGGTTCAAAAGTATGCACATTTCCACTTTGAACGACCTCTTTGGGTCGTGTTGGTGAAAAGCTTTAGCATAAAGACTTATAGTAGTTAATTCCTCGTTGAGAAGATGTAATTGAACATAAAAAAGGGGAAAATAGACCAGGAAAATTTTAATGGGATTCTATGGGCATCCCATGTCGATGCCGTTGCTGTCAAAATATCCAAGCACGGCCTATGCAGGGATAGAGTGACCACGGACAAACTAGGATGTGAGCTGTAAATTGTCGGAAATTGGGTTCTCCATACGACGGCTTTAATTAGAGGAAATGAGACAAATATTTAAAAAGTGCATTAGTGTAAATTTTTACCCATTACTTTTAATTAATATATATTTTTTAATTAAATAACTATATTAATTAAAAGAATATTAATCAAACGTAAGAGTAAAAATCACATAAACATACACTAGGATAGGTTCAACAATTTTCTCCTTTAATTAACATAGGCTATCTTAAATAGCCTCACTAGAAAATCCTCGTAGAAAGCAAACAATCTTCAATTCAACTTTTTTTTTTTTTTTTTGAAAGGACTTCTCAAATTATTTCAGAGTAGCACAATGATTTTGAGACGTCGAATTTAAAGCCCTCACCGCAACGTTGAAAAAAAAATGGAAAATAAAAACATTACGTTTAGGTAAAAAATCAGCACAAACCGTTGTTATACATATATATATATATATATATATATAAACAAATAATTCAAAGGGACTTAGAGCAACACAATCCACCCACGTAGAATACTGAATACAAAAGCCAGGGCAGTTTATACTATCATTCTCCACAAGTTTCAAAAGAGGTGGGGCTTTTGTGTTTGTACCCCATGAGTGTTACTCACCTACACAGCTTAATGATTCTCAAGTCCTTTTTCACCTTATTCTGTGTGAGAAAAGAAAAACATCCCTTTTCTGCATTTCTTGTCTTTTTCTCCTAAGTTTTCACTCTCCCCCTTTTGTTTGGGCCTCTTGAGAGGAAACCCCAAGCGCTCAGATTCAATGTCACAAACGTTTTTCAAAAATGCATGGTGCACAAATTTTGTTTTTTTTTTTTTGGGAAAAAAGCAATAAATGGATCAATAATAAGATTCCCTTTGTACACATAATCACTTAGGTCCACATGAATACATATGTAGTGAAAAAAAAAAAAAGAAAAAACGCTAAGCTAAAAGGTGAAAATTTGATGGAGCTAGCTCTAGCAGCTGCAATTCCAATATATTCCAAATTAGGCCATTTTTATGAGGCAAGCTTGATTATTTATTAACTTTAGTAGAAGTTATTGACGTAATTTATCGTCAATCTTTACGAGTAACCTTTTAAAAGATTGGATAAAAAAAAACTTATTAAATGAGCAAAAATATCTGTTTTTCTTGGCATTTAATCTAATTAATGTTTTTGGTCAGACAAAAACAAATTTTTTTATTGAAATTTTTGGGTAAATGAAGAACTAATATAATGTAGAATTCGAGTTCCTAACTTGATCTTCTTTCTCCTTGGCATGCATAGATCATGCAGACATTTATTGTCACCAATCCAACAAAAGTTCTTCTATATATGCATATACATACTTATTATATGTATATATTGGCCTAGAAAATCATGAAGACCACTTGGAAGTTTGCACTTTGACAGCAAAAAAAAAAAAAAAGAAAAAAAAAACCAAGTACTCATTTCCATTCTCTCTGGATTTGCAATGCAGTGATTTGTAACAAATCTGATCAAACCACAGGAGTAAGGACCACAATTGACAACTGTTGAAAAAGCAAGCAAACCCATTTTCCATTCTCTCTGGATTTGCAATGCAGTGATTTGTAACAATGCTGATCAAACCACATGAGTGAGGACCACAACTGACACCTGTTGAAAAAGCAAGAAAACCCAATTTTTAAAAGGCTAAGAGCTAATTAGTAAAGGGATTAGGAGGCCATGAAATGATAACCTACCAGTCAACCAACAAGAGGTAAAGAAAAGGAATTTGATGGGATCATCATTACCACCCGATCGAGGCTATCCAATGCCATGATTAGCCCAACAGTTGATTCATTACGTGCAGCTAAGCTAATGCCTAATTATAAAGTTTAGATTAATATGTACAAAATGTGTAGCCCGGACGTGTGACCATGATAATGAATATGGTACTAGAATGGTCTTGAGTTTGGTATAGGCAGTTAAAAGCACATTCGGCTTTGTAAATGTAATATTGTTGGAGGAAATATTATCATGTTGTAGTAGTACTATAGTTTTATCATGCTACAGCCTTTACATAGCATGTGACTTGATGAAAAGTTAGAAGTGATGTATAAAGGATTTTTTTTATAAAAAGGTTTATGGTTCTTTTATCCAGTAAATTTTGACTGAATTAACAAGATGTCTGCTAAACTTTTTTAAGGGATATTTACCTTTTTATACATTGTATTTTAGGTTTATTTAAAGAACATATCTTTAATTTTTGATCTCATTAAATGTATACATTCAAATTAGATTTAATACTTAAATTTATACCTATCCACAATCAATCCTCAATTTTAACCTTAAAAATACTCAAAATACCCTTCAATAAAAACATAGAAAAAGGAAAAAAGCCCGAAAAAAAACTTTAAACTTACAATTTTAACCTCTAAAATATGTAAAATACCATCCAAATGGTTTTTTTTTGTGTTATTAATTTTTAATTATCATAATATTTGAAAGTTTTAATGTTTTTTTCCCTTCTCTTAAGCATAGTTCAGTCATTTTAAAGGTCAAAATTAATTATTGACCCAGATAAGGTATAAATTTGTATATTAAATCTAATTTGAAGGTATACATTTGATGAGATAAAAAACTGAAGGTATGAATTTTGAATAAACGTAAAACACAGGGTATATAAATTTAAATATCCCTTTTTTAATTGGGATTTAAGAAAATGTGCCAAAACTCTCCAAAACAATGATTGGTGTTAAAATGTGAAAGGAAACACCCCTGTACACTAACATGACATGCTCCAACCGTTATAAAAAATTTTAATTTTTTTCTTTTGAGTGAGTTGATGTAATGTGTTCGGGGTATTTGTGTTTAAATTTAACAGTCGTCATTGATTTAGGAGCAATATGAACGTTTTGTTAAATTTATTAGACAATTTGTTGAAATTAAAAGTTTTGAGGTAGTTTGTCAATCATACGAAATTATGGGACAAATACCCTATTTTAAAACTACTAGACTATGATATTTCAGTCTTTTTGTTGACGAATAATCCGGGCCCCAAAAGAGAATTTATTCCGGGCAGAAGAAATAAATGCCTCCAAATTATTGAATTAATTAATGTAATGGTCCCAGTCAAAATGGCCTCAAGGCTCAAGTGTCCAAATTTGCTCCGACTAAGATGCTCTTCTTGCCCTTGGATCGATTTGTATATAAGATGACACACAGAAAGTGAACAATACCCAAAACCCCAAAAAAATCTATTTCCCAAAGTTGATTCTTTTTTTACCTAAATTTATTGTACAAACGAAGGGAACGAGAGATGAGATAACACTGATGATCAATGTTTTTTCTATTAAGAAAGATGCGTATGATCGGGTTTGCCACAAATTTTTCCCCTAACTCTTAACACCATACATGATGCTCTAATTTGTCCTAAACACACACATGAATTTTAAATTCCTTGTGGTGTGGTTCTCATTATATCTTGTAATCCAACTCACCCTTCTAATCCCCACTTTTGTGGGCTTTACATATAATATGGGAATTAAATTAAGCTAATCTTTATTTAGGGGTTGCTTTCACTAGCCATGATGACACGCCCCAAAAGCACAGCAAACCTTCAGAATTCCTGCAATATTTTTTTTCCAAACCAGCAAAAAAGAAAAAAAAAAAAAAGGTTATGAGTCACTCGCTAGTTTACCTTTCACCGAAAAGTGTTTTGAGCACGTTACACAATTTTATTGACTTTAGATCAATCGCATTACAAATACAATTATAAACACCTACTAAAGTTTGTCCACACCAGTCATCACAATCCTTTGCATGACAGACTTCATATGTGACTTTCTCATCACTCCATTTCTCTCTCTCTCTCTCTCTCTCTCCCACACAGACAGACAGAATTAGAGAGAGTAAGAACGAACCTTAAACAAACATGTCAGGTTCCTCAGCAGAGTAATGAAAACCAGTTCTCTCTAGTAGTAATGAAATGAGACTTGGGTTGTTAAAAGCAGTTATACTGTTGCCGGTTTGACACTTGGTGGTCAGATTTTTTTCCTTTATTATTATTATTTTTTTTCAACTTTTGGTCAGGTTAATTTGTTTGAGAAGAAATAATGGGAGTTGTGACTGTTGGAGAATTGAAGCCAAGCATTTCTGGGAAAAGGTCGTTTCGTCCAAGTTCTAGTATTCGACATGCCACTGAATGGTAATTCAAATCACTCTTTTTTTTTTCATTCTTTTTATTTATTTATTTATTTTTAACTCAATTTGCATCGGTTTCCATATTTCCAAAAAATGCTTTATGTCACTCTAAGCTGAGTTTTTCCCTATCTGGTTATTCACTCCCAATGTATATATATACAATATATATTTTCAGATTTGTCCTTTTTTACAGAAAAATTTCTAACTTTTCTGTGAAGTTGTTGACAGTTTGTCAATATTCTTTAACATGATGTAAACTTAAATCAGATAACCACATGACCCACCATTTGTTATCAGAATATTTTTAATGCATCAATTATTTTTCTTCTGGGGCGTTGAATTGTTACGATCAGAGCCTGCAGGTAGATGAAATTAAAAATTCTGAGAACATATTTCTGTCAAGTGAAGATTTTTCCTTTATGTCACTCTAAGCTGAGTTTTTCCCTATCTGGTTATTCACTCCCAATGTATAGATATACAATATATATTTTCAGATTTGTCCTTTTTTACAGAAAAATTTCTAACTTTTCTGTGAAGTTGTTGACAGTTTGTCAATATTCTTTAACATGATGTAAACCTAGATCAGATAACCACATGACCCACCATTTTTTATCAGAATATTTTTAATGCATCAATTGTTTTTCTTCTGGGGCGTTGAATTGTCACGATCAGAGCCTGCAGGTAGGTGAAATTAAAAACTCTGAGAACACATTTCTGTCAAGTGAAAGATTTTTCCTTAATTTCGCAATATTCCATGTAGTTTTCAGTAGGTCCCTGAGCAATTTTCACACGCTTAAATCTGAGGCCCCCTCCAAATTTAAGAGTGAAAACGACAGTTGAAAATGGTACCCATAAAAATCGTTAAGATTAGGTAAATTTTATGGTAGGATATGAAATAATATGACACAGTTGTTAACCATCACACTTTCATCAAGTTCATAGAGTTTTCAACTTACAATTCGAAACTCTATCTACCATACCCTGTCATAAAATTCTCTCAAGAGTATGACGCATCATTTAAAATCGAGTCTTCCTCTAGATTTAAAATAAGAAATGATGCTTGAAAAAGGGTTACCCATAAAAGGTTAAGACTAATCAAAATTTATTAGCAGGATGGTTTTTAATTGTCAGATTTTTATTGAGTTTGTATTTTTGTTTTAATCTGATTGTAATCTGTATTTTTGATACCCTACCATAAAATTCCCCTAAGAATTACGAGATCACTTAGCCCCCGAGTATGACGCATCAAAGTTGTGTGACCTTGACTTTGACAGATCTAACATCCAAACGACATCACCACGGGACGTGAGCTAATGAATCAATGTTCACATTCCATGTTGGCCCAATCAACATTTCTTGGTGTCAACGAAACAGACCAATCAACACTTGCTCATCAATTATTTTTTCTTCTTAGTTTTTACCATATGTTGGACCCTCCCTCTCTAGAAACTAAATCAGTACGGACAACTAGTACACTAGTTACACCAAGTATGACAAACCCAATAGCGCCTACAATGAACACAACAAGAAGATACAGCTATTTCATAAAAACCCAAAAAGAAAAAGGCCCTCAAATCATGCACTTAGTATCCATGCAGATCCGCAAAATCTGCACAAAAAAACCACTCTGCAATGTTCTGAATCTGACCATACATTTCTTTTTTAACCCTTATGGAGACTGGGGAGTCTATCCTTTTGCTTGTGCAGTCCACTTATTTCACAATTATTGATTATGTTAATGTCCCACCGTATGGGGTCACTCCAAATGTCAAATCACCAAAACTAGGAGGATCATGATGTCCATAAGTTTTGAATTTGTTCACGGTAACATTACATTTAATGCAAGAATTCGGTGGGTGTGTGTGTGTACAGTGATATATATGCAACAACAATAAGAGTCTGTAGGAGGAGGAACACTTGGGAAGAGTTTCTTGATATGTTGGCAGCAAGAAACATGTATATATGGAGTGTGGTTTTTGTGTTTCATGGGTTTGGTTTGTTTGTTTTGGTATTTTCTTGTTTCTCTGCAATGTCCCCTCAAATCAGGTTTTCACATCTTCTTGCAGGCCAATCTCTGACGTTTCGAGCGATCTTACTGTTGAAGTGGGAACCTCGAGCTTTTCACTTCATAAGGTGAGAAAAACGTTTGGTTCTGATTAAGATTTGACTGTTCATTAAGTATAGTTATTGTTGTAAGTGCTTTTGTTGAGCTTTCTACTGCGAAAAACTGATAGCTGCAAATTCAGAAATTTGGAGGAGATTGTTTATGTCCGGCGTTTACTTAAAATTTCTTGTTGAATCTTCAATTTTATATTAGACTACAAAAAAGGAAAAAAAAAAAAAAAAAAGAAGATAAGCGTACGAAATCTTAGTATCTTGTTTCAATTTTGTTGCAATTTTCCATGTTTACATGTGAAGAAAATCTGTGCAAAGTTGTGCACACTTTATGAAGAAGAAAAACTATTTCTGCAGATGAAATTGTGTGGACAAACACAATATTTCATTATAAAGTAAAGAAAAAAAAGGCTGGATAACTAAGCTATTAATGTGTTTCTCTTGCAGTTTCCTCTTGTTTCGCGAAGTGGAAGGATTCGAAAATTGCTGTTGGAAGCAAAAGATACAAAAATTACAAGAATAAATCTTGCTACTGTCCCTGGTGGACCTGAGGCTTTTGAGCTAGCTGCGAAATTCTGCTATGGAGTAAACGTTGAGATAACGCAGTCAAACGTCGCAATGCTTTGTTGTGCGGCTCACTTCCTGGAAATGACAGAAGACTTTGCAGAGAAAAACCTCGAGGCCCGAGTTGAAGCCTATCTAAAGGAGATGGTGCTCCCGAACATCGCGAATTCCATCTCTGTTCTTCACCGTTGCGAGACTCTCTTGCCGGTTGCAGAAGAGATCAACTTGGTCAGTAGGCTCATTAACGCAATTGCAACTAATGCCTGCAAAGAGCAGCTCACTTCAGGGTTGTTGAAACTTGACCATAACTTCCCTGCAAAGCCTGTCCCAGCTATGGAACCAGAAACACCCGCGGATTGGTGGGGAAAGTCCCTCATAATTCTCAGTCTTGACTTCTTTCAGAGAGTTTTATCAGCTGTCAAAACCAAGGGTCTAAAGCAGGACATGATCAGCAAAATTTTGATAAACTACGCACATAATTCTCTTCAAGGCCTTGTTGTGAGGGATTCACAACTGGTCAAGGGAAGCCTGCTGGACTCAGAACTGCAAAAGAAACAAAGGGTCATTGTTGAAGCAATGGTTAATTTGCTACCAACTCAGTCAAGGAAGAGTCCAGTTCCAATGGCATTTCTCTCGAGTTTGCTGAAAACCGCAATAGCAGCATCGGCATCTACTTCTTGCAGGTCGGATTTGGAGAGGCGGATCGGTCTGCAGCTTGACCAGGCAATCCTTGAGGACATCCTAATTCCTGCGAATTCGCACGGGAACAGCCACAGCACAATCTATGACATAGATACTATTGTGAGGATCTTTTCCATATTTCTTAACTTGGATGAGGACGATGAAGAGGACAGTCACTTGAGAGATGAAAGCGAAATGGTTTATGATTTCGATAGCCCCGGATCTCCTAAACAAAGTTCAATCCTAAAAGTATCAAAGCTGCTTGACAACTATCTTGCAGAAGTTGCATTGGACACAAACTTGATGCCCACTAAATTCATAGCACTAACAGAACTACTTCCGGATCATGCTCGTTTAGTGAGTGATGGACTATATAGAGCTGTGGATATCTTCCTAAAAGTAAGAAAAGAAACTCTTTCTCTCTCTCTCTCTCTTCAATGCTTGTTTCTATGAGGACTTTGAACTCATCACTTTCTACAGGTTCATCCAAACATTAAGGACTCAGAGCGCTACCGCCTTTGCAAAACCATCGACTGTCAAAAGCTATCTCAAGAAGCCTGCAGCCACGCAGCGCAGAACGAAAGACTGCCGGTTCAGATGGCAGTTCAAGTGCTCTATTTTGAGCAAATCAGGCTGAGAAATGCGATGAACGGAGGGCACAACCAGTTCTTCTTTGGTGCAATAAATGGCCAATTCCCTCAGCGCTCGGGCAGCGGCGCTGGGAGTGGAGCCATTTCCCCTAGAGACAACTACGCATCGGTAAGAAGAGAGAACCGGGAGCTCAAGCTAGAAGTTGCAAGGATGAGAATGAGGCTAACTGACTTGGAAAAGGACCATGTTTCCATGAAACAAGAGCTTGTGAGGTCTCATCCTGCACATAAGCTCTTCAAATCATTTGCCAAAAAGTTGAGCAAGCTCAACAACTTGTTCAGGATTAATAGTATTAAGCCTACAGGGGGCAAGGCAAGTTCAGAAACCAGATTTCCATTTCAGAAGAGGAGGCGTCATTCTGTTTCATGACTTGAGTAGTAGTGTGAATAAACCAATGAGTGTATAGTAATACTTATATACATATTTATATATATACAGTGTGATTGCTTCTAATGTCATGATAGTTTTTTGAATGTTGAGATTTGGTTGCTATGTTCATGAGATCACTCCCTTGACTTTTTTTGGTCCAATTCTATAAGGCAGACGCTTTATTTATTAGAACTTGTATCCTAGTTGTCAGAATGTTTTTGACATCATATATATGAAACATTGGAAAATGTTGACACAAGCTTTGAAGCATCTACCTTTAACATAGCTAATTATGCAATTTCCTTGTATTCTCATTTCTCTGGTTATGCCTTAGTTTGTGCATTCTTTTACACACCAATGAGAATTATAAAAAAAAAAAAAAAAACAAAAAAAAGTTAATCTAATCTTCCGGACAGAAAGCTGGTAACTTGTGTGGAGGCTAATTATACTATACAATTTCTTATTGATCATGGTTCGGTTATGGGGTGTATGGCGGATTTTCAGGTGTATTTTAGGTATTCTACACATGTTTTCATCTGCCCTAGTTCTCGTGAAACAAAGGGGAACATTTTACGAGTGAATTGTAGTACCTTATACTTCTTTCCCTGATTATAGTATTTTTTGCAACGGTTAATTAAACACAATTCTCACATAAAAAAATGAAAGGCCTTTAGAATTTATATGTGGCTTGTCTATTTCTTATTTTTTTTCCCCCTTATTACTCTAGAATTGTAGGAATTATGGACTTTTGATTCCGAACAAAAGCCATTCCTAGAAAGCAATTTTTAAGTTATCCATGTGCACCACCAAACGTGTTGAAAACACTCATAAACATGTCCAGAAAAGAAAATAGTAAACTTTTCATTTGCAATCCCTCTTAAGATTGAAGATTAGATCCTTGAGCAAAACACAAAAAGAAGAGAACCCCATATAACAACAATCACTAGAAGCATAATAGGTAAAAAAAAAAAAAAAAAAAAAAAAAAAAAAAAATTTTACAAAAAAATTAAAAAAAAAAAAAAAAAAAAAAAAAAAAAACATTGTATCATGATACATCCTTTCTTATTGCCATTCCAAATATCTTCAAAGTAAAGGATGTTATTCACATATTTTTGCCCCTATAAAGGTGGACATGCTTAATCATAAGAACTTGCTAGGGAATTCTCCTTTGCCCACATAACCTTGAATACAAAAACATTACATGCTCATTGTTTGTAATGCCACAGCTTGACAAGACTCTCAATTACCATATTGTCTCAAATGATGCTTTGGTGTTATTTGGACGTTCATTGTAACTTACCCAAGTTGGCATCTTTCACAAATAGTTTGAAACAAGAACATAAATATTATTATTGACACACACGCACGCGCAAAAATCAGCTTTAATTTGTCACGGAAATGATAGTTGTACGTGTTGCTATAGTGATTCCACTAACTCATGTCATGTTAAACTTAATCCTATTGTTTTTCCAAAATGAAAAAAAAAGGGGCACAAAGGAATCTAGTACAGGTTGTGGAAAAAACTTGTGTCTGTGTGGAGTACATTACACGAATGACATTGCTGGCTTGTGGGGGGGGGTTTTTTTTTTTAAAAAAAAAAAAAAAAAAAAAAAAAAAAAAGAAATTTAAGAATCACATAAATAATGTTTTGTATTGGACAATACTTCCTATTGACGCCTAAGACTGGTTGATCTAGATTCTAGTGGCACCAAGGATTTGAGCAGTACGAGATTTGGGAAAAGTTGCAGGTTCAATCTTCTGTTATTTTTTTTTTTTTTAAATTCCTATTTACATTTAACATTGCAGTTTTTTTTATTTTTATTTTTTATTGCCTTTGATTAGATATAAACCAAATTGATGTGTAAACCACTCGCGTAGCAAATCATAACTTTTTCAGTAAAAACAAAAAAAGTGAATTCTGTGAAACGTAAATACCTTATGGTTTATTTGTCCGTGAATTCCCTGAATTGTGTGTGAATAAAAAAAAAAAAAAGAAGAAAAGATTACAAAGAAACTAGATTCAAGGCTGTTTACACAAAGAAGTATTTATACAAAATGATCACTTTTATACTCGAATTTGTCTTTAATTTAATAATATTATTAATCTATTTATTTTTATAATTATTGAGATAATATTATTTCAAAATATACTCTTTCTATATGGGTAGTTAACAAAGAATAAAAATATCATCGCGGGATATTTTACAGATTTACGTGCAAATATCATGAAAATTCAAAATTTTCAATATATATGTAATTAACTCGAACAGAAAACCCAGGCCCAAATAAACGGCCTGCAGATGAGGGTAGTTGGTCCAAAGTGCATAGATTTTGGGCCTGGAAATATTTCTGAATTTGTCTTGACAATATTACCCCTCCATAGGTTGCGACGAGGAGAGCGTGAAACTGTGTCGTTTTTACGTCGACTCGGCAAAGTACCCGTGATTCCGTGAAAGAGGCGGTTTTGTTCTTCTGCAAGTAGGGAGTGGAGTCTAAAACGGTGTGTATTGAGAGAGACAAGAATGTCTTCTTCTGGGCTTCGCAACTTCTTGCCCTTCTCCAGGCTCTTCAGGTGCTTCTCTCTCTACCAATGTTCTCCTTTCTCTCTCCTCTTTTGGGATTTATTCTTTTTATTTTTTTTATTTTTTGCTTTAATTAAGATTGTTCTTTTGGTTGTTTGAGTACATAACAATGTCTATTTTCTTTTTTTCTTTTTTTAGGTAACCTAGAACCTTCTTCGTGTTTCTAATTTCTATTGCGATCTATTTTTCTTTTTTTCATCTCCTGCTGAGCAAAAAGTCCTATTATATAATTCGGTGGATAAGTTTTGTTGGCTTTGTCATGGAAAAAGGTGGATTGGAGTTGGACCTCTCAAAAGATTTTTTTATTTTTTATTTTTTGGGTAATGCTTAACAAAATTATGAATTTAGACCCAATAAGGGCTGTTATCTTAAAATTGGAAGAAACTCGTTTGTGTTAATGGTGCATTGTTTACCATTTTTCAACCAAGAAAATTCATTTCAAAATCAGGGGAGGACTTATTTTTCTTCTAACCAACCATAATCTAGATTAGACCATTATTCTAAATTCTGAAATATTTCTGTCTGAAGTGGGAGTAATTTTTAGTTTTTTCTTAGTACATGTTAGTGCAAAAGTTTTGGGCAGATTTGGTTGCATTTATCTAGTTATAGTTCATTTTTATATTTAAGACATTCCTGAAGCCTAGAATATTGATGTGCTGCGAAAAAAAGAAAGGAAGGAACGTCAAACAACTTACTGCATCTAATAAGAGATTTTTGAGTTTAGGTACTTAGTAGATTAGTTATGCCTATTTACCAGAGTTTGTCTTTATGGAATGGCCCGCGCTCCATTTTGCTTAAGAGCATTGCTATATTTAAACGTGTAAAGAATTATTCCAAACTATTGTAACGCTAGCAATACCCTATACATATGTAATATATATCCATATATATCTTTATATATGTGTGTGTGTAGGGTTTTTGGCACAATTGCCCTCCGAACTTGTCGTGGTTTAGTAAATTGTCTCCTAAACTCTTAATTTTAGCAAGTTTCCCCCGAACTTGTGAATTTGTTGCAATGTGCCTCATTTAACTGAATTTGCTAAAATTTTTTATTAGATTTAAGAGATTAAAAGTTGAGATATTGAAAGATTTGTGTTATATTTAAATTAGAATGTTGAAATTTTTGGTTGAATGTGCTTTTTTGACACTAATTTAACGCAATCGCCATTAAAATGGAGCATATTGCAATAAATTTACAAATTAAGGGGGCAACTTACCAAAATTAAACGTTTGGGGGACAATTTACTAAACCACGACAAGTATAGGGGGCAAATGTGCTGAAAACCCTACGTATATATGACCATGATTATCTTCTTTTCATGTGCTCACATGTCAATCCGGAACCTATAGATTATGATACATAATAATTATTGAAAGGGTTGATGTTTCAGTGGGAAATAATGATCACAACTGCTCATCCTTACTGCGAAAATCATCGTTTTTATTTGCTTGTGGCCCTAAAAATCAACTAAAAGATAGTGGGGAGGGATTAATTGTTTGTTCAGGATTGTTCAGTTTTGCCCTTGTTTTATTGCTGTCTTTCTATAGTTTTACTTGAAGAGAAATGTTAATATGGTGTTATCTCTTATTTGTCACAGGCAGCTGGAGCAAGAGGTGGAAACTGTGGTAAATGTGCTGCAGCCTGGACCATTAGGAATCATAGAGCACAAGTTCTCTGCCGAGGAGATTCGCAAGGCGAGTGCCACAGTTCGTATGGCAGTAGAGAATTGGCGACGGATCGCGAAACTCGAGGAGAGTACTGGGGTCTTACATGATTATATTCACAAGTGAAGGAAACACCGGGGGAGCCATTCTCAGTGGATGAGTGGAAATTTTTGAAATTTTGTTCTTGTACAGAATACATAGAAGCTTTTGGTACCCGGTTGGAGTGTTGTATCTTTGTGACTTAGAAACTTCAATGCTCAAGGAAATCTATGAATGTTTTTCCTTTGCTACCAACCACTGTGATTTTACAGTACGTAATTCACCCCCATTTACCATCGTATGCATTGCTATTACAACTATGTAACTATATTAATTTGACAATAAAGGAAATTTAATTTCTGAATATATATATATATATATATATATATCATGAGCAAAAGAAGTGAGAAAACATTAACTTCTCTTCCCATCTCTAGAAAACGAATTTGCACTCATTTAGATTTAAATAGCTTCTATTTATCAGTAAATATTTAATTTAGCTTGTTCATTGTTTTTAGGAGATTAGATAGGTTAGATTCAAATTCAAATTCTTCATGTAAGTGCATGTATATTATCTTCTCATTAATGGAAAACTAGTACCATTATTTCCCCAAATTCTCTCGAGTCTAAAGGATGGTGATAAACAAAAGAGGAAGCTTTTGTAAAAGCGACGCCCTTTATCAAACAATGATTACTATTTAGTTAAACAACTCCAAGTAACCAACAAACTTTACTGCTAAATCTTCCAGAAAGAAAGATAAAAGAAAATACTGCTAGATCTAATCTCTATTACGTTTTTTAGAATATATGTTAAATCCCTTTTTGTAGATTATATAGAACTGTACAGCTAGTACCTGATAAACTTTATCTCAAACAACATTTACGGACATAGATTTATCATAATCTTTAAAGTTACTCTCAAAGTGATTCTCTCGTATTTTAGCCAAAGGTTAAACCTGAAAAAGATCATTGACATGCAATTCCCTCTATCGATCAGGACGTTTATGAATGAAGGTGAGCATCTTACCTGTTGTTTTTCCTGTCTTAATTCCTTTGGTTACGCTATTTATTCGCTATTCCATTTTCTTCTTATCTTGTGTAAGCATCTGTGCAATTTGGCACCAATATTTGCTAATCTTGTTTTGGATCTATAACTATATATACAAGTATATATGGCCAAGGTTGTTCATCTATATCCGTCTATTACAAAATCATTGCCCTCAAATAAACTCGCTCTCTTCATGATGATTGCGAGAATAAGATATGTTATATCCAACTGATTTTGATTTAAGCAACTTGAAGACATAAAACACATGAAAATATTAAACTTCATCACATGTTTGGAATTGTGTTCTCCGCTGTGAGAAGATTGAAATGATATATTTATATGTTTAAAATAGTGAACGAATGAATGAGAAATTGACTCTCAAAGTGCTCATGTGAAGTTGAGAAAACTGAAGGGAAAACTCCTAAGAAATTAAGAAAAAGTGAAAAAGCTTTTTGTCTCACGTCAGAAAGAGATGAAGTCATAGTCTCCTCTAAGCCTTATAAAAGTGAACCCCACCATTCTTATGCTCTCTTTGGGATAGTAATTTTTTGTTATTTCTAGTCATTTATCATATTATTTCCGTTAGTATAAGATGTATATGAATGAGAAATTCAATCCGATTCATCAATGCATAGAATTGGATTTTGACCAAGTCGCTCCTGTACCAAAATATGTTTTGATGGCACAGAATGCGTGAACTAAAGTGAGGTTCGAATGATTAATTGAGTAAAAGCAATCTAATTACCATTAAATCCATACTAATATAATTTCTCCGTCTCTTACAATAATTTTCGTTGTTATTAAAACTAGATAAGATATGACGTGAATTATCAGATGGCTTTATAGCTTCTGTTTTTTTAAAACATGTTTAAGCTTATCTATGGTGTGTTATATAGGTTTCATCATTCATGGTTTTACCTTTTGCCCTCAATCACAAACACATGTTTCATGAGGAAAAAAAAAAACGGAAACAAAATAAAACACATGATGATTATATCACTTATTCACTATATATTTCATATAATTTCTTCCTATCTTGTGTAAGCATCTGGCGCAATTTGGCACCAATACTTGCTATTTACCTCTGTATCTTGGTTTTGGATCTCTAACTATACAATATTCAAGTATATATGGCCAATAAACTCGCTCTTCATGATAATTGAGAGAATAAGATATGTTATATGCAACTAATTTTGATATTTAATCAATTTGAAGACAAATAAAACACATGATAATACTTAACTTCATGACATGTTTAAGCTTATATATATATATATATATAACATATATATATATATATATATACACATATGTAGGGCCCGTTTAGTTCGCTGATTCGAGTTTTTAATTCGAGTTGAGATGTGACTTTATGTGAGAGTTTTTTATTGTAGCAAAAAAGTTAGATGTGACTGTTTCTGAGAGTTTTTTACTGTAGTAAAACTCGAATCGGTGAAATAAACGAGATCTTGTTGTTTCATCGGTTTCATCATTGATGGTCTTGCTTTTTACTTTTTCCACAGGCCTCAATCAGACACACACAAAAACATGTTTGGCCAGACGGACCACATTATAAATATATACATGCGTATGCTATATTTTCAGCCACTATGGTATGATAGTGATACACACGCATAAAAATATATAACCATGTGCCTTTATTTATCGCTGTTACATAAAGGGGCAGAAAACCTTTAAATGCCTCTCTTCAAAGGTTAAAGGTGATGAAAACTATAGGCTACATACACCCTCGCCAATTATACACACATGGAACTCTGCATATATAAGTAGTGTATACACACACACAAATATATATATATATATATATATATATATATATGTGTGTGTGTGTGTGTGTGTGTGTGTGTGTAGTACATACATTGAGGTTTATTTAGCCATTCTTATTTATGATAATACAAAGCAGAGATTAAAAAAAAAAAAGAAAAAAGAGGAAAAGCAAAAAGTATACGTACTTATTCATTAAGCTTTAATGGTGGAGCAGGAAAATGGCCATTATACCCATATTGCCTTGGCCTGTATAAGCAATGGGACAAGCTCGTTCTTGAGTTGGAGGGTGAAAATGGTATCAGCACCACCAATGAACTTTTGGTTAATGTAAACGGCCGGTACACTTGGTTGACACCCCAACTGAAGAAGCTCTCTCTCAATTTGTTGCCCATTTGGTACCTCGTCAAGCTCATACACCGTTGTGTTAGCCCCATAGTTTTTAAAGAGCGACTTTACGGAATAGCACATTGCACATGAGTTCTTGCTGAATATCACCACTGGTTTCTCAGCCACCAAACTCTCTATGGTTGCCATAATTACTAATATTTGATAAATATTGTTTGTGATAAGCAATATAGATTGTAATAAGAAGATATATATATATATATATGTGTAGTACTATAGTCGATTTTTTTTGGCTATGGGGAAACTTGAGTTCCATGCATGTCCTTTTATAGTAGTAGCTAGCTGGTTTACACTTTCTTTTCTCGTTTTTTTTAAAAAAAAAAAAAAAATGAAATGTGGTGGGAATTGCATATATCTCTCGTGTAGAATAATTATTTAATGACCCCAAAGGTTGAAAATTTAGTGTCATTGGAATATTCCCAAACTACCCCTTTTATCATGATTACTTGATGGAGACCCCTTTCGGCCGTCAAGCTCCACGTTCAGTCATTATATATTGGCTACGTCAAGGTCAGTTTTGTCTTTTTACAAAGTCAACTGTTGTTTATAAATTAGAATTCATATAAATATCCCACTCCGTTCGCTTTGCGGGTTCAAATTGGATAGTTTTAAACATTTTTTTTATTTAAACCGGTGGCTTAAAATCTTTATGGCAAACAATGGTCTAAATTGACGTTTGATATAGTGTAAAATATGAAAAAAAAAAGTTTGAATTGGTGTTTGATTACTTCAATCATAATAATAATAATAATTTATTATTATTATTATTATGAATTTTACTATACATTTTAGGTTCTGAACCCATGACACAGATTCACAAAAAATCAATTAAACATTAATTCAACACCGCATACTAATAAAAGACGATCACACAACATCAAACTTACAAATAGATTCTGTTAGTTATGGTAATTAATACTGGGGTATCCTCTTCTATACATACAGATGTTTTATATATTATAAGGTTAGTTTACAAGTTCTTTAATTTATAGATATGTGTACATAATACCTTCTTCCTCAGTAATCTTTTTTTTTTCCTCCCACATCACAACTGCTGACCTAATAAAAAAATTTGGCGCATATGCCAAGCTGAGAACGAAGTTGGCAAGTGGGGTTTATCCAGTATACGTGTAAAGTTTTAAAATTCGCATCTAGTTCAGTTCAAGAAAACCGAAAGCCAATTAGAAAGAGAGAAGAACAAAAAAGGGCAAATATCAAATATGTGTGTGTGTGGGGCAGAGAAAAGTAAATAAAGATGCTTATAAATGGTCACAAATCTGTCTCCCAAAGATACCATGAAAAAATCCACGTGCTGATCACATAAGGAGAAGAAGACGACTTAAGGGCCCACCAATTTATATCAATTTTAAGTGACGTTTGTTTCAAAAATTCTGTCTAATTTAAGATCATGGTTCGTAGTTCTGCTACAGTATTTTTCTTTTATAAAAAATTTGAATTTCAAAAAATCAGATTCATGAACTATGATTCTGAACTCATGAACCAAACGTCACCTTAATTCTTCACGTTCGTACTAAGTTACTCTGTCGAAGAAAAAATGCCCCTCAAATTCAATAATACATACATATAATATATGAAAAATGCTAACATCATTTTTTCTGCCACTTTTTTTGTCATCCACTGTATTTACTGTTTAACATTTATACTTCACTATCTCTGTTTTTTTTTTAAATAATAATATATCATATTACTAGAATCCATATGTCAAACAATAAATGTAAAAAGTGAAAAAAAGTGACAAAAAAATGATACTAACATTTCTCTAAATAGAGTATATATATTCTCTGTAAAGAAAATTAAACGCATAATTGAATATAATCAAACTTTTATAAAAAAAATATGTATATAATTAAACTTTGGTCAAGCCTTCTTTTCATTATCAACGTGGGATCCGTTCTTTAATTAGAAGAATCCATATACAATATTAAAGCATTTAATACAGTCGCCTAGAATGCTAATTAACACATTTTTCAAGTGCATCCATATATATGCACAAGTTCTAATCATCATATGAATTTCCATAGCATTGGATTAGTACTTTTGCCATCAAAGATATGTTCTATATAATTACTAACAAGAACTCCTATTAAATGTAAAATTAATAATGAAGCTACAGAACCTCTCTTTTGAGGTCAATAAAACAAATAAATAAAGTTCTAAAGCCCCATTTGGTTGTGTGGCTTTCCAAATATCGACTTTTGGGGTTAATCGACCTCTTCTTGTTCTTTCTTCTAGTCACTTCGTCGTCTGGGAACACTGGAGATTGTCCTGCAGAAGAAACTCCGACGCTTAAATAAACAAGTATTCAAATAAGGTGAAATAACAAAAGAATAATCTTTCAAACAATACCATATCCCCTCTGATCGTGACACATCACTAATTCTTACCCGATTAGAGTTTTCTTAAAACATTCTCTCCTTTAAAGTGCCCATGAAATTTCTTAGTCCAGTAGACGTCCCTTTCAACTCTGTTATTTACTAATTTACATGTGTCTCATCTTCATTGGTCGTATCATTCTTAGGAAGGGGGACCACGTGTCTTGGCTTTGGGACGATCTTTTCTCCTCACACGTGTCATTCCCACCTTCTCCTCGATCTTGGTCTATCTTGATGTGTCGGAGTTTTCTAGCGACATCGGTCTGGGACCTCGATCGAGGTCCATGCTTTCCGTCGATCGAGGTATATATATATATTAATCATGGAGTGTTGCAACTAGTATATAGAGGAAAAACTCTTCAGAAAGGGCACAAAGCATATGCATATATAGAAGTCTTATGTGTAGCATATACAGAAGTCTTTTAACATTTCTGTGCATCTTTAAATTTTTTATGTTATTAAATTGTGTTTCATGTCACTACTTATAATTTCGAAAATAGTAACCGAAGTCAATCTTCAAACCTAAATGTCCTTGATCCATAATTAAAAGGAACAGTTTTCGTTTTTAAATTAGCTCTTTAATGGATTCAGATTATCAATGTCCAATATTTGGTGTGCTCAAAAGCTCTCTAACTAACCACATTATATTATTTGAACCATCCTTATAATAAATGGAAAAAATTCCGGTGATGAGTGAGACTTAAGATGCATAGCATTTCCGAACTTGCATCAACTTAACTCTTTAACACATTCATTATATTATCCGTGTCCGATATTTGGTGTCATAAAATGGTGTCTAATTAACCACATTATAACATATTGTAGGAAAAATTTCACGCTCTACATCAGCCACTAGATGGTCACCACGTGGCATAACTAGATAATTAATGACCATGCCAGCTGTGCATAAAGTATCCCGCAATTCTATGGACGCCGACTCTAAACTGGAAATAGAGCCCTTAAGAGGATGATCATACTGAGGAGTATATCACAGTATGAATTCGACCGCATTGTCTTTTGAAGACGGAGACCGCTTAGAAGGTCCCAAAGGCGCCGCACCCACACACGTCCTGAAGGACGTGATATCTGACCTGACACATGACATGCATTTAATGCATGCCGAGTTAGTGGCGAAGTTTGTGGGAAAAATCAGGCTGGCTGACTGAAATCTCGGTGATCAGAGATCATTGTTCTGAGATTTGGTGAAGGTGTCTCAAAATTTGATTAGAAAATTGACAAGGGTGATATGATGTATAAATAGGAGGAGAATGGCCCAGAAGGAGGGTTCTGAATTCTCTCTCTCACATTGTAATATCTTTCTCAAGAACATAGTGAAACTCTCTCTCAGTGGACGTAGCTCTAGAATTCGGGGTGAATCACTATAAAATTTATGTGTTGATCTTCTCTTTATTTTCATTAATCACGTTTTAATCCACTTGATTCGCACACAAACCACCAAAAATCTGTTAGTAATTTGTTGACGAATTTTTACTGTCAACCTAACATATTATTAAAAATATTCAAAATAACGTAAACATGTTTTAATGTTTTATTCTACTAAATAGCATGGCATAACGTAATTGGTTACATACTGTATTAGACATCAAAATCGGTCAATTAAAGTGATCTCAGTCTCTAACCTTTTATGATAGAAAAATGGTGGCGACAATTTTTCTGTCACTCTCTGCCTTCACTATTTGACACGTGAATTCCACTAATATGACATATTATTATTATTATTATTATATAAACGGATAACGAAATAGTGGAGTCTACGTGTTAAACAGTGAATGTAAAGAGTGACAAAAAAATATTGCTAACATTTTTTTTTTTTTATGATAAATGAAAAAGATTCAGGTGATGAGTGAGACTTAAGATACATAGCATTTCCGAACTTTCATCAACTTGTTATTGCTAAGAAACACCAACTGAGGTAGGCAAACTGAGTAATCAAATCATGTTATCCCTTTCTTTAGAAATTGATTATTTAAAATATTTCAGACCCTACATATATATATACAGAACAGAACAACTCACTACCAAATATGCAACTTTTTGGAATTCGAACTTTCCATCACCCATATTCTAATCATGAGGAATCATGCATTTACTTGTCTGCCTTGTAGAACCTAATCATGAAGTTCTACGTTAAACGAATACTCTTTAATTTTCGACTACCAAATGTTGATGAAATTTGGTGGAAAATTTGTTTGAGTGCAGAGAAGAAGAGACATAAAAGTAAAGGGTTTGTCCTGTGATCAGTGACGATCGAACTCAGAATTTTTTTATCATAAGGATTAAGAACTACAATAAAAAATTTTAAATAGTTAGGCTATTTTAGATATGAAGACTATTGAGTTTTAGTTGGACTTTTGTATAAAGTGATGTTTTTTCAATGAGTTAATGAAGACTGAAATCAAGTTCTCATATTTTTGTATAGGGATTAGTATGTAAATTGATTATATGGGTTCTGTTAAAAAAGAAAATTGTGGTTTGGGGGGTGGGCTAAATCAAGTTTTTATATTTTCTATGGGATTATATATATATATATGCATAGGTTTAAGAAAAATAAAAAGTTGAGGAGGGGCTTAAGCCACCCTAAAAATTGACTGTTTCCGTCTCTGAATGTGATACTTTTTTTTAAGGTGTTATTTGATTCCATTATAAGAGTTTGCTAGCTAATGTTATTTGGCGGTAAATATACCTCCAAAGTAATACTAAATTCAATAACTAGCAATATTATTAAATGAACAAAACAAAGATAAAACTTTGATAAATTTTGGAGTTTATTAGTCTAGTCATGTTATAA